TACCTCCCACCCTTGCCCTACCCGCCGCAGTGAGTGTCCCGCCTGTAACCTGTGCTTAGTGTCGAGGAGCACACTGCGATGTGCGGCCCACGCAACAGAAGCTGCCTGCTCCGGGTTGAACAGTCCCTCAACCGCCATGACTCGGCAGGCCTGGAGAAAAAGCAGGACCATATCCACCTCACTCGCGAAATCCGCGTCAGACTGTGTAGTCGGCCTGGAGGCGGTAGGGCCCGGCACCCCTAAGGACAGTGGCACACGCCCCATCGGCAATGCAAGGACGCGTCGAAAGAGGTCGAGGCCCCCGCCGGACTTCAGGCAAACAAGTCTGTGGTAAGGGAGGGTGACAGTCGGTGTGCACTGGGCAGTTGGCGATGGCCCCAAGACGGCCGGCCACTCGTGAACGAGAATCTCAACAGAGCTGGGGTTGAGTTTCCTGAGGTGTCTGTCGTATGGACGCTCACCTCTTTTGCGGTTGATATGTAGTTCCTTGAAGATTCCCACAAGCTTCACGGGGGGTGGGCCGCCCACTTCCAGGACGATCGCAGAGCCTTCAAAAGGGAACTGCCGTTCGAGGTGGGAAAACCAGTTGCGGACATTGCCCCTCGGAGAAGATTCCACAACCTTTAACAGGTAAGCCCCAAAGCTAGTGCACGTCGTTGCCGTGATGGTGACAAAAGATTCTGGAATTCCCGGGAACCTGCCACTCTCACGCTAGGAGCAGCGTGCCTATGTGGCTCACGCCTGCCCTCCTCCGTGGAGTCCGCCAATGTGGCGCCCTTACTGAAGAGGTGGAAGTAGAGGAAATCAACAACCCGTGGCAGGGTGTGCCGCACAAGCGCGCTGGCAACCGGCGCTGGAAGCCCGCTAGTCGCTCTTACTTCTGGTGTAATGTGGTGTAGTTCGATGGTGCAACGGTTTTAAGATGAACTGTTGTTCTCTTGGGCTTGGCCGAGGAACTCAATGGTCCGGAGTGGCATAGTGTTTTGTGCCTTCTTCCAAGAAACCGCTTGCTGATCTTGACACGGAGTACATCACGACCCCTGGTCATCCAGATTTTCCGCCATGGCTTCGCAAGCAACGCCGTCTGCCAAGCAAAAGATAGAACCTCTGGAATTTGCCAAGATCGTTGCAGACCAGAAGCTTGGAAGTGTGGAAGACGTCCATGCTTATGCTGAGGCTCAACGTGCTGCAGGATGGGGTTTACAGGAACGTTTGCAGAGACTCTTTAACATGTTTAAAAGCTGAATTCAGTGTCGGTTTTCAAGCCTGTACCACATTGAATCGCCGTGCTCAGGAGACCAGCGTTTGTTCCAGCTTTGCTTGACACTTTCCGGCAAGAAGCTCCAAGAGCAGATTGAAACGGTCTGGCATGTGCGGGAAGCGCCAGAGCTCGACGAGCTGTGTCACACATGCAAGTCCTAGAGGCTGCCCTGGAGAAGCCTTGCACATGTGATGGTCGCGCAATTCCTGGCTGGGAATATGTGCTCACCTTCAACGATCTGAGCGTCAGCGACTACCGTGCTGCTACTGTCAAGATGCTGGCACAGCAACAGTTATCGCATAGTGACATCAAAAACGGTCACTCAGTCAGATAAAAGGCCTTGACGATGCTGAAACCGAGATAAGGAGCTGGCAAAGAACGCGTTAATGCCGTCTTCCCACAAGAAGGCGGCTTTCCGCCTTGCTCCGTCAGTGCAGACGCTCTTCAAAGGATATGTGATGGCCAAGCCCCAAGTCGGCACCACCTTTCCCTTTATGACATTGCCCGGCAGACAAATCTATACATGGAATGATTTCTGGTGGCGCTTGGAACGATCTGCTCAACTTAGCCGATAATGAAGCTTTCCTCGTGGCCATGCCCAAGGGGGGCGATCTGGCTGCCGATTATTTGTGGAATGCTGGAGGCACCGAGTCCGTCTGCATGGTCTTGACGTCCAATGAGCCGACAAAAACAATGGCTCGGTTAACCATGTTGAACCGAGGCTTGGAATCAGTGTTTCCAGACTTGGCATTTCGCAAAATCAATTCCTGCCGACAAGCAGGATCGCCGCTTCAAGCAATGGGGCCAGTGCGTGCATTGCTACAGTCGCTGGCTGTTGGGCAGAGGCTAGGAGTCTGATGGAGGGAGACACTCGTATCACCGAACGAGTACACGTTTTCAAGACATTCGCAATCGACGCTTCTGCTTGCTCGACAAAATTACGTGAAGTGCACACTTCCCGTTGTGAGTCCAAGGGTTAAAGTCGCGTTGTATGTGGTCGTAACATTCATGTCGTTACTTGCAACCCACCTTGGGCCGAAACATGGAAGTTCAATTTTGCTGATATGGCTAAGCGGGTGATGACTACCGCCGCACCCCCCTGACAAAGTTATGCAACCACCGCATCCATGCAACGAGCTTCGAGCAAGATTGACTTTCAGGGCTCCAGGGGAGTCTTGGACAATTGCTGAAAGTGGTGGTCAAAGCTCTGGCAAGTGTGTTGCGAGTGCGTGTCGATGCGTGAGGTTGCAGATATTTTGGGCTAGAGTTTGGAGGGCATGAAACTACCCAGCAGCATACAGAAATTGATTGTCTGTGCTTGGGAAGCATAACTGCCCAGCAGCCTGCAGAGTTGACGTTTGGTAGCTCTCAGAAGGTGTTGTAAGAAAGTTTGGTGCAGGTCGGCACACTCCATTCCCATCCAGTCGCGATGGCCTCAGGTCTTGGCGCAAGTGATTTCGTCTCGCGAGTAGGATCAAGCTCTGCTTGCTCTCGGCATGATAAGAGAGGCAGACGGGACTGGTCAGATGCACGAGCTTAAGGAAACTGAGATTGCCCGGCTTTCCAGCCTGACATGCGGCCCGATTTCAGTTTGCAGGGATGGATTGCTGCGTTGCGACTGCAAGCGCTAAGCCCGCTAGGCTTGGAGTGTGGTAGAAACTGACCCGTCGCAGGCGCCGAAAACGACGGCCACGAGTAAGGGCCGTCTGATGTCTCGCCTCGCCCCCCCCGTGATTCCCTGATGTGCTGAAGGACTAGACTGGCTTCGCCTGACTGCACCAGAAGTGCAGCTAAGCGTAACGCTCGGAAGGCCGGTCACCATGGAGAGTTTGTGCAGCCGCGTGCGGAGGCTAGGCAGGCTGTAACGGCAGTGTTGCCGTCCACTTCTTGGACACCAGCACACTCTGACCCTCACGAACGACTTCGAGTTTGTGCCTTAGCACGTGAGCAGCCGTTTTCGGAACATTGGGCACTTGGCGTAACGCGCTGCCTGTGTGGTGATGCGGTCCAGCACACTTGCGAGACAATCTCACTTTCTGGTCATGACAAAGGTAGGAAGTGGCTGGAGTTTGCCGGTGAAATTGTGCGACCAAAGTGGAATCCAGACAGCACTGATGCATGCATGGAGCGACCATGCTCTACTCTGATCTGGGCTTCTTCCAAGATAGTGTCAGCAAGCATCATCCAGCTGTCTCGCGGACATGTGACTTTGCTGGAGCTTCATAATCGAAGCCACTGTGCTGTGCCCTGCCAGTTGCCAGTGTAGGTTTCAGATGCAGAGTCCTTGCATTCAAATTTCTTTGTCGACACTTCAATCTCGCTACTCCGTGACTGTGCCGTTGTATGACTGATCGGATGCACCGGCTTAAAAAACCTCAGACGGCCGGGCCGCCTGACACGTGGAGTGCAACCTGCAAGTGTGACTTCGGAGGCATGGCCTGCCTGCTTGCTTGCAGCATCTTGCAGCGGCAAAGGGCTGAGCCACAGGTTTGGCCGCGGACTCTGGGCCACTGGGCTTCGAAGGCATCGAGTGTGGTAAGAAGCGACCAGTGGGCGCTTGATCGATGCGGCTCGCTTTTCGCCTCCATAATGTGCTGAAGCTGAAGGACTCTGTGACTGGCCCTGGCAGACTGCACCACAAGTATGTCTTGTCGAAGGCTTACTGGACCTCAGATGACCGGCTGCAGCCGAGCAGCCGGCGTTTCCACGTTCGTTCTAGGTGTGACACAGCGCAGGAAGAACGTGCTGGCTTCGTTTTCACGGATGCGCTCTTGGAATTGCCAGACAACACTCCCCATTCGGACAATCGCAGGAGATTTTAAGGAGGCTGCTCCCAGGTGCCTCTGGCTGAGGCACTTACTGGAGACCCGAGCAGTCTAACCGCATAAGGTTCTAAGCTCTGCTTCTAGCTCATGAGCAGCGGACTTTCGGTCAGTGACCATAGCATACCATGACGAGGTTGCTCCCAGGTGCGAAGGCTTGCTGTTCTTAGCTGATCGAGCCGTGCAGTCTTCGGCCAGTCACCATGACAAGGTTGCTCCGAGTCGCGACAGGTTGTAACGGCCTTGCTGCTTGGCGGAGCTATTCTCTAGCTCATGAGCAGCCGAAAAGTGCGGCAGTCGGAAGAGTGAGCAGTTGGCACGAGCTAGACAGCCACACTTTCTGACCGTCACAAAGGTTGGAGTTCGCCGACCGGTGAAAATATCCGGTGACTCAGCCTGTGTATGGTTGCACCTGCTAGACAAGCACTTTCTATTCTCTATCCTGACACCAGTGCTTGTCGCAAAAAGTGCGCGTTCTCGTCCCCAAATCTCTCCTGTTAGCGGGTTTTGTGAGGTCCGAACCTTTGCAGGATGACTGCGAGCAAGTCTAGAGCATTCGTTTGTTTTGTTTGAATGGCTGTTTCTGCCAGCAAGCGTTTCTTCCAAGATGAGTGTCTGTCAGAGAGAGGATATGTTGATATTGTTGTGGAATCCAAACGCGAACCCTGAATCTGTAATGGCTTCAAAACCCTGGGGTGGTCTTGCAGTCCGAACGAAAAGGTGCCCGGGCTCACTCGCGCAGGCAACCAGCGCAAATGCCATGGGCTAAGAGTCGAGCCAAGATTCTCAGGAAGCACTAGCAGCTATACTAACAGATGCAAGCATAGCTTACTGCTTGACAGCAAGCTTTCCAAGTTCACAGATAATCAGATAGCTGATAGCAGCTTCGGGTTTCATCCGACCTTTGAGCTCGCGCCATGGCTCGGGGGCGACGTGCGCATCCAAGAAAGGGTCGTGCAGCGTGGGAGTCCACCTTACGGTTGTGTTTTAGGCATGCGTAGTGTGCAGCCCAGGTGGTGCAAGCAAGTCTGCGGACGACTACGACGACTACGAGTACTATAGCTCCGCTGACATGTTTTGCCACCAGATTGCTTTGCTGCCAGTTCCTTCCGTGTGGTCGGCATAGTAGCCTTGTATCAGCTTCTTGCATGAAATTGGATGCAAGAGCTTGCATTCAGTCATAGCAGGCTACTACAGCGAGTCCCGATCGCCCTCCCCTCGGAATCGCGGGCGACGTGGTCGCGACCGTGGTGGACGCAGGCGCGGAGTTGCTAGATTATCAGTTATTGCTGAGCATCTTAAGGTGTTGCATGCGGATCGATGCTCGTGCCTGGCGCATACTGTGAGTTTTCAATCTTGTGCTGGTGAGGCCGCCAAGCTTAGTCTGAAAGTCGAGATACCGAGATACCTGATCAGAAGTGCTGCAGGCGCCATGAACGCAGCCGGTCCCGGGGTCGTCGGGACCGCCGCCACGACAAGCGAGGCGCGACGCCGCGAGTGACGTGAAGAGTTTGTCTACGGTCTACTTCGGCAGGGGGTGTGAAGATGACTAGAGCGACGACTTGTCTTCAGGCCGCAGTCGTGAGAGGCGCCCTCCTGGCAACAGCCCGAGAGAATTGGCATGTCCGTCCGCAGGCTTTCAATGCTGTGGTGACCTACCGAGGACGTCCTCGTTTTGAAGACCGTGGCCGGATGGGCGGTGGCGGACGTGATGCCAAGCCTGGATCCCAGCGCGTGTTGTGAAGGGCATTGGTGAGGTTGTCAAGAACTGCCGAGAACATGTAACTGTTCCTCTGTTCATGGTGCGGCTGCTATTCCTCCGTAAGGCAGAGTATACTGTACTGCTTGTACGCTTGTTCACATGGTTCACTCGGCATCGAAGAGAGGCACTGAGTGTCCGATCGGCAGCAGCTGCAGCTAAAGCCGCTCTGTGCAGCTCTGACTTCGCGCCTGCGCTGTGCTAGCCGCGCTGCGCGAGCCGCGCTCTGCAAGAGTCGCGGACAGGTGCTCACTTCAGTTTACTTCTGAAGGCCAGGAGGAAGGATGCTGTATACTTGTGCATGTGAGCCGTTTGTAATCCTGCTTGGGGGTAACCTGGTTGCAAGTAGTAGCGATCGGCAAGATCTTCATTTCCTTCCAAGCAGTGCAGGGCAGCCGTTGCGCGCTGCGCTGCCGAGCGCTGTTTGCCTTTGTGCGCAGTAGTTAAGCGGCATATGCGTAGCGGCTGCTGGCGCTGACAGGACCGATGTGTGTAGACAGAATCATGCAGTATCCTGCAGTCCGGAACAAATCTCGGGAATACAATCTTAAACGGTAAACGTAATCATCCAGATCCAAAGGTCCTGCATGGATGCTGTTTGTTTGCCATGCTTTCCTGGTGTGGGGTATGTGGTGGTATGCGTAGCCACTTAATTCCCAGGTATGGTCCGGTAAGTTCTCCCGGGTAGAGACCCTAGAAGACTCGTGCTAGCTCGCCTGTGGCATAGAAGCAGGCACTGTGCTGTCTGCGCGCGTGTGGCAGCTGCTGATGTGTCGCATGTGCGATGCTTGCGCTGTGGGCTGTGGATATTTCCCGAGACTGTGCCACGGAGACTCAGACGTGGCAGGCGTTAAGGGCGAGGTCAGTGATGGTAGGAAGCTGAGACATGGCGCCTCCCCCCAGGCGAACTCCTAGCCGTGATGGGGAGCCATCGAACGTCCCGTCCTTTGGTCTCTGCACTGGGCACAGCGCAGCATCTTCGCATCGAGCCCCCGCGGGTGCAGTGCTTGAGGCCTACGTCTGGAACATGTTGATTGATCGCGAGAAGGCTCGCATCGTGGGGAACTGAGAGCCTGTGCTGGCCGACGCGGCCGCAAGACAGCATTGTTGTCCTTGTCTTTGACAGCTCTTGAGCTGAGGACCGCAACTTCTCAGAGGCGGATAGGATCCGCGACGATCTGCGCGACCGAGGCGGCAGAGATTGCAGGAAGTAGACTCTGAGCCGTTCCGTCGCGCGTCTCAGACGGAGTCGGCAAGACCAGAATCCAGGCATTGAGATTTCTGATCGAGAGCGGAAATGGGAGGCATGGTGGGTGCACATGATGCTTGTTGCGAGCCTTTGTGACGCTTGCTTGTGCCCTCAATGCACCTATTAAGTGGAGGTTACTGTACACAACCAAACTTTGCTTGCAAATTCCGCAGACTCCGTTCGCAGCATGTGCACAACATCACGCGTGAGTTGCCGGAAGTAGAACTGAGTGGGGAAATGTCTCCGATGCACATCCAGGCGAAAGACGGACGCGTAGGACAGCGTCCGAATCACGACGAAAAGAAGAAAGATGACTGACAGATTGCCTGCGGCTTACACTCGCCTCTCAGCTTCATGTGTCTCAGAGAACGGGTTTGCGCCGGTGGAGGTAGAGTGCTTTACTTGAAGCCCTCCGAGAAGAGATTTCTACTAGGTTAGGGGGACTGACCGCCCCTCATTAGATCTTCCTGGAATAGACGTGAGCTGATTTCGTTGTGGATGGCCGCCGTAAATGAGGTGCCTAAGATGAGGAGAGTAGCTGGCGAGTGCCATGAGTGTCTTTACGGTGTATTGACTTACAGCCGCATGGGGGGCTCGCGCACGTCTGAACCAACGCATGATCGAGAGGGAGAGCGGGGCATGATGGGTGTCATTGTAGAGCGACGCCAAGCTTTCTCCCAGGCTGAGCGATACGCATTGTCAAGTGCTTATACTCGGTACCGATATGTACCGATTTGGGATAGTTCTTAATTTCCATAATTGTTGGGATAATTTAGCGCCCTAACTGCGAACAAACTTAAGGGCTTGTTGAAGTCGACACCTAGTACGTTGAGGGCGAGACGGGTTGCATCACTGCCTCCAATCGGTTTCGGCATGTTTCTGCTTCGTGTTCGCATGGTCTGCATAGCCACAGCACAGGATAGAGTTTGTTCTGTATGTTTGGCCCGACTGTTACAGAGGAAGTATGCGGCATGTGCAACTAATGGTCGGGATCTCCAAGTATTCAAAGGCAGAGCGTCACCATTCCAATCAGCTTCAACGTTTCGTGTCGCATCGCGGTGAGGCAAGCATGGTCGGTTTCTGAGCTTTGGCGGCCAAACACATTGGTAGAGGATAGGCCTGATGTCTTGTTGGAAGTCAGTCGTTCTGTTGTCTGTTATAGGAAAGACGTCCTTCCAGAGAGAAGGTCGGCTCTGTTCGCCCCAAACGACCAGAGTCCCGTTCTGTATATCGCTGAGCGTCCGGACCGGACGAATCGCGTCCTGTGCAGGCATCCGTTTAACCGTGCAACCTCGACGTTTCACGGGCGGAAGGGCAGAGCTCGAGAAATGTGCGCGTCGTTGCAATGGAGGGAGAGCATTTGCGGAGACGCATTGTGCATGTCTGAATCCGGGCATGATGCGGGCAAGGCGGCCAGCTCAAGCACATTCAAGCACCATGGTCTTTTTTTCGCTAGCCATGAGCCCAGTCGTCAGGATTGCTGGCTAACGGAAGCATTAACGGATGCAAGCATTGCTTACCATTGAAGATGTCTGACACAAAGCCTCCCAAGCTCACAGATTGCAGCTTCGGGTTTTATCCGACCTTTGAGCTCGCGCCATGGCTCGGGGGCGACGTGCGCATCCAAGAAAGGGTCGTGCAGCGTGGGAGTCCACCTTACGGTTGTGTTTTTTCCAGGCATGCGTAGTGTGCAGCCCAGGTGGTGCAAGCAAGTCTGCGGACGACTACGACGACTACGAGTACTATAGCTCCGCTGACATGTTTTGCCACCAAATTGCTTTGCTGCCATTCCCTTCTGTGTTGTCCGTGATGGTCCGTGTAACGACTTTGTTAGCATTTTGCAGGAGATCTGATGAAAGGGCTCACAAGCAGTCACGGCAGGTTACTACAGCGAGTCTCGTTCGCCCACCCCTCGACATCGCGGGCGACGTGGCCGCGACCGCGGTGGACGTAGGCGTGCAGTCATAAAAGCTTGGTGTTCAGCAGCTTGTGGCTGTTGTCTTTCATCGTCGCTGTCACAGCATCGGAAACTGTAGGCTGGAGTCTGACAAATGTTCAATGGACTTCCTGCTCGGGAGTCCTTGTTGCGCGGCTTCCGGATCTTATTGGCTACAGCGCTCCCTGGCTGTTTTCCTTCCTGGTTTCACGGCTTCCTCGCCTGGCTTGCGTGGCAAGACGTAAGCAGTAAGGCAGCAGCAGGTGGTGGTAGTGGTGGTGGTGGTCTTGGCAGGAGGAGGAGTAGGAGGAGAAGTAGAAGTGGAAGTAGAAGTAGCCGTGAAGCCCTGCGATGATGTGCCAGCCACCGAAAGACGTATCCGAGTCAGGTACCGAGCCACGAATACTCACAACAGTACCTGCGGGCGAGAGGAACAGATGAGAGTCACACTATTCGCAACAGCAGCAGCAGGAGCAGGAATTATTGGAACAGCGTCAACAAGAAAAACAAGATCTTAGTTTTTGCAGCACGATGCGGACAGGAAACGCAAGCATGGCGACAGCTCCGTGGACATCCTTGCCCCGAACATCTGACAAACAACCTTTCCCAAGTTCTGGGAATGTCCCATAAATCATCCGACAAACATATCAAAACTGTTCAGAGCTCCGCCCCGGGAAATGGAAGCATGTTTCCACATCCTCAATGGTCAGACAGCGCGTTCCCACATTCGCTGTACATGGAGATGGAGATCTTAGAGAAGATCGCGTAAGATCCAGGAACGACTACCCAGGAACTCCACCGTGTTAAGAAATTCATCCCCATCTTCTACAATAAATGGAGTTCGAAGGAGAACCCGTTGCTTTCTAGGCGTGCGCCTAGAAGAAAGGTGAGTTAGAATACCCGAACACCTTTTGCAGTCCATTCCCTTTCAAAGTCACCTCCAGAATCAAGAAAGCTCCTCTCGAGGAGCTTGAACAAAACAACGAGGTGGGGGGGGGGAAAGCCTTAAGCTTGGGGCAAATCCAGGCCCTTTCAGGGGTCTGGCGGTCTGTCACGGCGGGGTTCGGGAATTGCACCCCTTCTGATGTGCATGGTGCTCTTACAGCTTCTGGCTTTGATGCTGTGGGCATGGACCGCAGCTATCATATGCCGAGTCGCCACTCATGTCTGACCCCCGCTTGAAGAGCTTTGGCCATCTCGTCTTGGGCACAAGTTACAGCCCTATTGAAATATAATCTATCATGTGAACTTGTTTGGGTTAAATTGAGTTCCTCCAGGATCCTGCTGAGATAGTAATAAACCGGTTGTACTGTATCGAACGGAACAATCATTGACAGCGAGTGTAACTCCGCCGAAAACTTCTGCTGAAGCCAGTTGAGAGAGGCGTTCGAAGGTTGTCGGGGACCTTTGAAACTCAAGCATGTCAACACGTTTTTCTGAGGGTAGATGATACTCTAAAACCTAATCCCCCAACTTCCATAACCATTAATCTAGAAGGGCTGGCCACCCGCGAGCTACGAGAGACTGTCATCCTGCGAAGGGAAGGTAGCAGTAATGAAACGTATCAATCATTCAAGGTTTCAAGACTTCAAGCATGAGATCTTCGAGCTATGTGTAAGAATGCCACGGTCATGTATCTGCATGCTCATGTTATGTGCAGCAGCGGACGCAGGCGCCGTGACCGCAGCCGGTCCCGGGGTCGTCGGGACCGCCGCCACGACAAGCGAGGTGCGCTGTGAAAGGTTTATGGTCTCCTCACTTCGTCAGGTCAGATATGAAGATCTCCAGGGCGGTCACGACTTGTCTTTGGGATTCTTGCATTCCAGGCCGCAGTCGTGAGAGGCGGCCTCCTGGCCACAGCCCGAGGGAACCGGCATGCAGGATGCAGGGGGCCCGGCCCGGAAGAATGCAATGCTGTGCTGACAAAGGACGTCCTCATTTTGAAGACCGTGGCCGGATGGGTGGAGGCGGACGCGATGCCAAGCCTGGATCCCAGCGCGTGTTGAGAGGTTGGTGAGGTTGTCGCGAGTCTGTCCAGAACATGTTGTCATTGCTCCGCAAAACAAGCTATACTGGGGATGCTGCCTTGTTCGCATCGGGCGATCGGCATCGAAGGGAGGCAGCGACTGTCCGATGGGCAGCAGCTGCAGCTAACGCCACTCTGACCGCGTCCAGTGCGCCTGCGCGGCTAGCGCAGCGCCCTGCGAGGGTCGGGGACACGTGCTCACTTCAGTTTACTTCTGAAGGCCAGCAGGGAGGATGCTTTATCCACGTGCATGCTACCGGTTTGTAGTCCTGCTTGGGGGTACCTGGTTGCAAGTAGTAGCGATCAGCAAGATCTTCATTTCCTTCCAAGCAGTGCAGGGCAGCCGTTGCGCGCTGTGCTGCCGAGCGCTGTCTGCCTTTGTGCGGAGTAGGTAAGCGGCAGATGCGTAGCGGCTGGTGGCGCTGACAGGAGCGATGTGTGTGGACACAATCATGTAGTCCGGAACAAACCTCGGTAATACAATCATTAAGCGGTAAACGTAATCATCCAGATCCAAAGGTCCTGCATGGATGCTGTTTGCTTGCCATGCTTTCCGGGTGTGGGGTATGTGGGGGTATGCGTAGCCACTCAATTGCCAGGTATGGCCCGGTAAGTTCTCCCGGGTAGAGACCTAGAAGACTCGTGCTAGCTCGCCTGTGGCATAGAAGCAGGCACTGTGCTGTCTGCGCGCGTGTGGCAGCTGCTGATGTGTCGCATGTGCGATGCTTGCGCTGTGGGCTGTGGATATTTCCCGAGACTGTGCCACGGAGACTCTGACGTGGCAGGCGTTAAGGGCGAGGTCAGCGATGGTAGGAAGCTGAGACGTGGCGCCTCCCCCCAGGCGAACTCCTAGCCGTGATGGGGAGCCATCGAACGTCCCGTCCTTTGGTCTCTGCACTGGGCACAGCGCAGCATCTTCGCATCGAGCCCCCGCGGGTGCAGTGCTTGAGGCCTACGTCTGGAACATGCTGATTGATCGCGAGAAGGCTCGCATCGTGTGGGACTGAGAGCATGCGCTGGTCGATGTGGCCGCAAGACAGCATTGTTGTCCTTGTCTTTGACAGCTCTTGAGCTGAGGACCGCAACTTCTCAGAGGCGGATAGGATCCGCGACGATCTGCGCGACCGAGGCGCGCCGTGGAGCGCCGGCAGAGATTGCAGGAAGTAGAACCGCCTACTCGGAAACATCGGCCAGAAATTCCGAAACCATGCGTCGGCCATGTCCAGGTATCGAGATCTATGACCGAGAACGACGGTGGGAGGCACCGTGTGCCTGCAATCCTAGCTCTTGCCCCCATTCCCGACCATGGCATGTCCTGTACCATCCGTGTCACATCTGCAGATGTAGAATTTGGCACGAATAGTTGCAATCATCAAGAATCAAGACTCTGTGATGCACAGGCGAAAGATGGACGTGTAGGACAGCGCCCAAATCACGATGACAAGAAGAAAGATGACGACTGACAGCTGACGCGAGCCGACGGTTCGGAAAGTAGCAGCAGGCAGCCGCTTCTCAGTCAAACAGAAATTGTCAGGTCGAGTCTTTTACAAGGGTGCAGGTTATGGCGCGCAGTGCTGATTCTAGCAGGGACTGCAGGCGGTCGATGCCCCCTGCCCCCTCTAGCTGCAGGCTAGTAGATTAGAGTCCAGAAAAAGACCGAAGCATATGAGCCTGTCGTCCAAAAGGGAAAGCCTGCGTCAGAGTTGTGAGATGCTGCATCCCTGACAAGCGGTGAGGTGGCCGGCAGCCCAAACACATCCAAAGGTACATTTCACATGGGTGGTTGTCAAAATTATGGTCCCTTTTTGGGTGCCTTGAATATTAGGTGCCGTAGTATAATAGTAACCCAAAAAGGGACCCAAATCTTTGACAACCACCCACATGCATGAAGCCAGTTTTCTACCGCCTGCCGCTCTGCGTCTCAAGCCTCGGACTGCGGGAGCACTGGGCGGGTCTGGTGTTCCCGGGACGTCCTTGGGTTGGAGCCTCGCTTTCCACTGCTGCCCAGCCACATGTGGGCTTGATCCTGAGGCAGAGCCGGAGGCATGTTCCGAAGGCTTGTCTGCAGAAAGAGAGCCGGTGTGACTGTTCCTCTGGTAGTGGAGTGTGTGGCGCCAGGCGATGCGCGTAGACTCCCGCTGGGCGCCTGGCGCCCGCGAGAGGTGCAGCTCGCATGCAGCAGAAGACGTGCACTTCCTGAACATCGATGGCAGGTTTCGTCACTCTAGGACCTCTAGTGACAAGGCCGCCGGTTTCTTTTCAGGTTTGATGTGCCAGAGCAGGCCAGGGATGCTGAAGCCCTGTGCAAGGCTACTGGTGCAGATGAAGGCCGGGACGCTCCACTGGGAGCGCGGCGGAGCATTTTCTTGTTTCCTGAGCCAGCACTGCTGGAGAGGAGACAGACGGCTGGATGACAGACTTGTCGCAGGCCGACATGGAGGCGGGCGGGGGCTTTTGGAATATATGGGCTTCCGGTGTAAATTTCTGTCTCGAGCCGAGCTCGCTCTCTCTCTCTGAGTTTCCGCTACTCACATAATTGCTCCCAAGCCTCATGGCTGCAGGTGCCCGTTCCCAAGCTGCCCGCCGGCATCATCTCTGCCGAGTCCTTCGGCTGTGCGCCAACTCGGCTTGCTGGTTTTGTGCTGTAACGGAGGGTACAAAACATTTTAACGTATTTTTGTTTGCAATGTCGTGTTCGTGGTGTGCCCAGTGTGCCATGACATGACGGTGCGCGCTGTCTTTGCCCAACTCAGGGGGGAAGAACACCCACACGTCGTCAGACTCTCCCTCCACTTGCCAGTCACACCCGAAGGGAGGGTGAACTCGTGGATGAAGACCTGGATGTGTGGAGGCTAACGCGGGAGTGGATATAAACCCGGTTGTGCCGTGTCAAAGCTTCGATGCATCCCGATATGCGAAACCTTACCTGCTGAAGGGCCCGCGACTTCTGGTGATTTGAACGATGCTCACTGAACTCCAAAGTCACGGCGCGGAGATGCAAGCTTGGTCTGTTGTCGATTTTCTTATTGTGGTTGTCGTTGCTTGTGGTTAGGGAGAGGAGGTGTTGCTGGCGCTTCTTGCTGTGATTCATAATGCCATCATCACTATCATCGTTACCAGTTGGCACGGAGGTATCGAGATGTTGGGAGTACTCCCTCCACCAGAGAAAGGCAAGTGTTGCAATTCCAGATGCTGCTCTGATTTATGTGCAAGGTGTGAAGTGTAGGATCTCTAGGACTCCTCCAACGAGCCCCAAAGGGAATCGGCGATTCCTGGGACTGTCCTTTGTGGAGGCTGGCAGAGGCAAGGGAAGTCTGCCGATGGCAAGGCAGCGCAGGATGCTCAGGGGTTGCTGCAGCTTGAGAGCTTATCTTCAGGTGTGTGTGCTTGCGCTGGAGCAAAAGCGTCAAAACTCTCGGATTGAGATGTTTTGGGGGGAGCCACGCAGTTCCACGACCCACCACTCAAGCCAGGGCAAGCATGGAAGTGGGGAGCGTCAGCATCTAGCCCTTGGCGCTCAGGTGGCTTGCAAACAAGGTGGCTCCCGATTGGATCTACAACATGAACGAGCAGAAGTGACCTGTGACAACACATCTGGCGCCAGTGGCACCGAAGAAGGACAGGGACCGAGCGCGACTCTTCAGGTACTACCACGCGCCCAGCAAGAGCTGGTGGGAGAAGCGTCCCCTCGAGCACTCCTGGCGAGAAGCCGATGCAATCCGGTCACCCGGTCACTCTTAGCTCGTCTTAGCTCTTTGCCATGGCAGGTCGCAAGATCCCAAAGCGCCACCCTACACTTTCGTCCGAACCGACGCATTCCACTTGAAGGCAGACTCAGACTCCCGCAGCTCCTGTGGCTTTATTCAGGCAGCCTGCTGAGGCCTTGCGACACTTTGCTGCATCCTTGGACTCCGGTGCTCTGCCTGCACCTCAGAGAGGGCGTCTCGGGCTCCTTTTGAAAGAGAAAAAGGGAGCTGGAGCTCGACGGCTCAAAGCACGACATGCCCAAGACCCCAGTGGCTTCGAGCGTGTGAGCATTCCTGATGCCACGTCACAGCGAGCTCAGCCCTAATCCTAGGGTCCTAGGGTCCTAGGGTCCTCATGCGAGCAGACATCCAAGCCAATGTGGCGTGGAGCCCTGGGGGCCCTGGGAGCTGTGGTGGGTGTGGGAGCTGAGCTGAGCTGCCCTGCAGGAGCTGCTGGCGAGGAGAGGAAGAGGGAGAGGGAGAGGGTCGCCTTTTTGTTCGCCTTTTTGGCGGTTTTATGCCCTAAAGTCTGTTTCAAACAAGGTCTTTGTCTTCTTTCTCCTTTCGTGAGGCATGTCGCCTGGCGATGGCTCCAAGCTGGCGGAGCTTCGAGCGTTGCGCGATCCCAGCTGGGAGCGACCTCGGAGAGCCCCTGTTCCTCACCGTCGCAGAGGCCAAGGATCACTGCGAGGCTCGGGAAGCATGCGCAGCCTTCACTTTCGAGGGAGAGGATCTGGATGAGAGCCCTGTCTGGGTGCACTTCAAGACGAGCTTCGACTGTGTTGATGCCGCCTGGGTGGCGTGGCGCAAATTGGATTCGCATTCGCCGGCCGCGGAGGAGTCCACAGCGGTGTCTGCCTTCATGGCATCTGGCCTGGGGGTAGCCTTGTGCTTGATGGGACAGGTCCTCATGTTGTCCTACACCCACGTTGCCTTGGAGCAGCACGTCTTGCAGGTTCTCAAGCCCGACGTCTTCTTGTATGGACCTCGCGGATCCGACGCCGAGCCGGCTCCAGAATTACACAGTCTCGAAGATTATGTGGTGGAGGAGAAGTGGGAGGTGGAGAGCATCCGGGACCGTCTGTATGCTGAGACGCGGAATCCGAGTCGAACGATCGATGTTGACTACGTGCAGGTGCAGGGCAACTGGTTTGGAAGCGAGTGCCTGGACCCACCTTTGCAGGATAAACGGCCGGGAAGTGCTATCTGCTGGTATTACAGTCAGCAGAAGTGTTTGGAGATGATCCAGAAGCAGGAGCATCAGAGAGGACAGCCCTATCAATGGGTAGTCGTTTCACGCTTTGACTTTCGGTGGTTGGCGCCTCACCCACCGCTGGAGCTGCTGAAGGCGGATGTGGTCTGGATTCCCTCTGGCAGTGACTGGGAGGGTGGAATCAATGACCGCCATGCGGTGATACCTCGTCGGCATGCCGAAAGCTATTTGAGCTCCTGGAAGATTCTAACCTCCGGCCGCGCAAGGGACGTGATGCTGGACACTCTTGGCTCCATGAAGTTGAATGGTTTTCCGGGGCCCAACACGGAGAACTTTCTCAAGGCGCGACTCCAGTTTCTGGATGTGGAGTACGAACGCTTCCCGAACGTGGCTTATCTGACCTGCACACTTCGCGAGAAAAGCCGATGGACCCAGTGCTTCGGAACCGCCTCCAACAGTGCTCCAGGCTGGCTCTATAAAGAGGAGATGGAACATGCAACCCGCATAGCCAACTGCGTACGCTCCTCGTGGAACAAGCGAAAGATGGAGGACTGTGCGGAGGACATCTCACATCTGTATCGTGGTCTGCGGTAACGGAAAGGAGGAAAGCTCTGCTCCCTTCCATGTTCAGTGCTGGTTTCCGACTTCAAACGGTTCGGTGCCCGAATGCCCTAAACCCTAAACCCGCTGAAGATCATGTAAAAGTCGGGTCCTCAACCCTCAACCCGAAACCCTAAACCCAGAGATGTGGAAGCATGAGGCCGCTGGCCTGGCAATCCTGGACTCTTTACGTCAAGTGCGCCTCCCAGAGTAGACTGGAGTGGGTTCTTGTTAGGGAACTTAATTCGAGTTACCATGGCACTGTAGGGTCGGTAGCAGGTACAGTAACCAGCAGCGTACCTCGCTTTTGCTTGCATTGCTGGTCTGATTCTTCCCGTGCCGTTTGCAGGAAGAAAAAGGCGGCCGTTCAGGCAGGCTCAACGGACGCTTTCAGCGTGCTTTGCTGCTGGACGGCTGCGGTTGTTCATGTTGGAACAGAAGCACTTTGAGACAGACGCTGCCAGATTGCCGCGGCGCCGGTGGTGGAAGAAGTCCAGCATGTGGAAGATGCAGGCTGGAAGGGGGCTTTGTTTAAGGGGGCGTGCTTTCTTGTTGCGTGTAGGTTTCTGTTTGATGCTGTGCAAGGTGCAGACCTTCCAGCAGAAAGGCAGGGACCTTCTTTCTATGCTTTGGCGGCCCAATAGCAGAACATAACATGATATACTGATATACAGTTGCATACCATACTGTCTGTAATATGCAACATTATAACAGAATATAGTTAGTATAATGTATGATGTAACAGAACAAGACCATAAAAAGACGTAGAGTGCAACAAAGTAATACTACGATGCGCTAGAAGCTTAAAACTATCATCCCTTTTTGGGTACCCTAAATATTAGGTGCCATACTATAGTAGGGTGCCCAAAAGGGACCCTTAAGCTTCTGATTTGCAGGGAAGAGATCGAGACGAAGCTGCCTCAGCTGCCACAGCTGCCAGGTGCGCGATGGAATCGCTTGGTAGGGTTCATAGAAGCTGCATAGGGTTGGGTCTACCGAAACCTGTGTTTGGGCAACTGAAACGATAAATGCCTGGGCTCCGCTGGCATGGGCCAGAAGAGTAGGGTCATGTCTGCATTCCGACTCCCAGTTTGCCACAGCATATGATGACGACTATTTCTACATATTTCTACCACGACGGCTGTTCCCGTTGTTACCATATTTATTTGGCTTATGTGAAAGGCTAGCGGCTAGCGTTGCTCTGTTAGCATTAAGACGTCTATGATCGCGGGGAGTACGACCCTACCTCAAACCGACTTTAACCCTAGTAGCTAGACTCCAGAACCTTAGGACCCATGGCCTGAAGTCTAAACCCTGATCTCTCCACAGGACAAAGAACCAGGAGTAGCTTGACTCAGTGCTCCTCAGAATAGGAAAGGAATGACCAGACGGCAGTCCGAAGCCGAAGGCTCGGCATCCCTTTCAAAACAAAGGCAGAACAACAATGTTGACCCCCCCGCCCAAACACCAGTTTTTGGTGTCCCCACAACTTCCTCCCTTGATCTTGGAAGGCCTCCCGCTGTGAATGTTGCCTGGAACCTCTGAGTTGATAGCGAGTCCCTGCCCTCGAAGACAACTCCGCCATCATCGCGGCTATCGCCAACGCGCCGGAAGACGAGGAAGGTGAAGAAGAGGAGGAGGCGGAGGAAGATGAAGAAGTGGCGGAGGAGGAGCCGGGCGCTTGTTGTGCTGCCTGTTGAACAGCACTGTCGCATGATCGGCGGAGACAAATTTTTCGGGACCAACGAACAGCCTAGGTCTGAACGGCCACCTGAAAAAGCGCCAGTCATTGCCTTTGGAGTGCCTTCTGTATGTGCGAAGTCAAGAATCTCTCTCTTTGTCTCTGCTGGATCAAGATGCCCGGATGCCCTGCCTATGGGCTCCACCAGCGGATCCCGGTGTGCAGCACCCAGGTGAAGACCAGAAAGAAGGGTGCATGGCTCAGATGCGATTTGGTGCATGGGGCAGGGTGGCAGGGTCAGGCAAGGGAGGGAGGAAGGGAAGCAGGGAGGAAGTGCTTGCACGATGCCGCACTACTTGAAATACGCACCATGTAGTATGAGGATGAACGTCCGATTGAGTTTTCTTTGAGGTTGGTGCTTTTGCTTTCGTTCGCGGGCACCGGTCGATTCCGATTCCGGGAGCGAGCAGGAGGACATCCGTCTTGCAGCCACAGCCAGGGCTTTGGCAGATTCGATGCATGATGGCAGGAGACCTCCCCTCTTCTCAAGCCCGCAGCTCCGTCAATTGAGTTGGGCCTTTGGAGCTCGGCCTCAGTGTAGCCTTGTCCACTGGGCAGTTCCGAGGCCCGCCGCTAAGCCGCCGCCGCCCTCGGAGCGGACGGCCTCCACAGCCACCGGCAGTGCCTCGCAGGACAAAGCTTTGTGAATCTTGCTGAAACTTCCGTCGGGACGCTCTCCCCCTCCCCTCGCGACCTGAAGGATGCAGCCGTCACGGACACTTCACGAAGCCTTGGTGCCGCCCTGAAAGAGCACAGCAGATGCGTTCTCGTCATGTGCTGCGGCAGTCCAGCACCCCTCGAAGAAGAACTCGCTCAAAGTGCACCGCTGAGGTGTTGAAAGTCCCAAGAAGGAGGAGGCAACCGCAAGATATCCGAGCTGAAGAGCTGTTCAGGGGATGGTGAGTGCATGTTTTTGCAAGGCTGACATTGACATGGTATAAGTTGCTTCGCAGATCCGGCTGTCACTGCAGATTCTCGTAAGCACAGGCTCCTCGAATCCTTCCTCCTGCTGACGAGTTGCAAACACGAAGGCAGTCCGCTAATCCCGCTCGTCCAGTATCAGCAGACGCGCCGGCCTGGCAAGATCACATCATGTGAGGTTACAATTCTTCCTGACCGACATTAGCCGAAATCCGCAGCGGCTTGTTCCAGCCTCAGATCCTTATGAGACATGTCGGCGCTTCTCGGTTCACATGGGCAGGTGACGCACGTCGAGCGCAGGCGGGTCTTAGTCGTGCATCTTGTATTTGGCAGGTTGTCCGCACAAGGCTTGTAGGTCTTGCCCACCTTGTTCTGCAATGCAGCTGTGATTAGAAGAGGCGTGCCGACAAGACGGCGGCATCCTTCATGTAATTTGCCTGCATGGGCATGCCGTTGAAGGGAGTTTCCCCTCTTGAGCTCAGTGACACCAAGGTAAGCCGTGGCGGCCTTTGTGAAACAGTAGCCACAGTAGCCTGTAGTGTGCAGACATTTGCAGCTTGCAAAGCAGGCCATGCCAGTGCCTTGTTGCGTGTATAGCAAGAGCAACTCATTCTTGACCGATGCTGTGTAAAGTCTTCTGGGCCTCTGGGTGCTTAAAGAAGAATGTTGTCATTCCACATAAGAGAATCTGGTTGAAAGCAAGCTGAAGCAAGCACCTTGACCTCATTCTGGTTGGGTTGCACGGCAACGCCTGGTGCACCTGGCAGAATCTGGCAGATAATGTAAATCTCCGCCCTCAGCTTCTCGCTAAGCGAGCTGGCCGACTCATGCTGAGCATGGGATCAACTGTTCAGATCTGTTCAGATGCTGTGGCGACCGGTAAAGGAATGAGTGGTGATGCGGGCTGATGGATGCTGATGGTCTGAAGTCTAGGGGGTTGGGTCGTTGAGCCTACATGACATGGGCAGTGGCCGGTGCCAGTGCCAGACACGTTGCTGCGGCGTCCGCTCAAGATCTTTTTACTTTTGTTCCCACAAAGTGCTTTCCATCAAGAAACTCAAGATGCAGCTGCCTCAGCCGGAATGCGAAGATGCTGGCTAGGGGCTAGTTGCCTTCTGCAGCCGTCTGAACATGTTCAGGCTTTTGAACTTCCGCATCGTTGTCCTGGCTGTGCTCGCATGGCTGGGATCTGCGAAGGCCATGGAACTACCGAAGTGAAGTATCCTTTCCTCCCCGAGTCGTGTTTCCCCGACCCAAAACACTATCCTAAACCCTAAACCCAGTTGGATCTTTGAGGACATCCTCCAGAAAGGCGCCCTGAACGCTGACGACGAGTGCGTGGCTGAGGGTGAAGGCTGCGGGCTCAATGCCCTGCAGCTCAGAGGCACGGCTGAGGGAACATGTCAATGTGGGAACGTTCGAGGGATGGTTCCGGCTCGCAAGGTGCTGCTACATGCAGGGACATAATCGTCGCGGCACAGATAGTCGGAGTCTTCATCACGTCTGAGCGTGGGAGGCGCCTCTGTCGGCGTGCCGATTGTCGGGGACGTCATCGATGAGCTGGAGGAGCCTGTGCCGATGAAATCGCCTCTCGCGATCCATCAGTAGATCATTCTGTATCGGTAGCAACGTCGCGTTTCAGGACCCAGATGACGAGATTGAGGAGGCCGATGAGGAAGAGGAGGAAGAGGAGGAAAAGCCGGCAACTGCCAACACGACGGAGCAGCCTGCGACTCCGGAGCCGGAGCAATCAGAGGAGGAGGAGAAAGATGAGGAGAAGGAGGAGGATGAGGAGCAGGAGCAGGAAGAGGAGGAGGAGGCGGGACGTCACGGTAAAAGGCCCGGTGTAGCCGTTGGTCACTGGAAGGGCTGCTGCGCGCGAAAGGATCCGGTGACAACGACGACGAATGCCGGCGAACCCCATCCCGAGGACCAGTGGCTTTTCGAAGAGCGCGCAGCTGTGTGTAGAAGTTCGTAGCCGGTCGCCTCTGTCGTTCTCAGGATGCGGTCTGTGCAAAACCCGAGCAGCAGTGCGGCGGCCAGTGGTACTACGGGCCCGCCTGCTGCACTCACGGACACATCTGCTACGAGGCTGCCACTGATGCAAGCACAGAGCGGTAGCGCAGGCAGTGCCACAACAACTGGCTCAATGGTCTCAACCTACACGGAAGTTACAGTTACTACTCCTGCATGTGGCTGCATTGCAGGTGAACCAGTACTACTCGCAGTGCGTGACCCACGAAAAAGCTGAGGACGTTGGTCGGCAGTACATCCTACAAGCATTCTTCAGGTGCTTGAGGCATTTGAGGCCATGGGGTTGCGGTAAATACCATATTGCACAGAATGTGCTGGTCTTGTGTTTATGTACACGTGCATGTGCAAGCCGATACGGGTGCGTATGTCGCATTATGTGACATTTGCTCCACATATTTCATTTAGCTGGACATGCGCAAGAGTGTGCGACTGTGTATAGAAGTGTACCTTCGTATGTATGCATGCATGACGGTTGTTCGAATTGATGCATGGAAGGATGGATTGGTGAGTGTACGGGTGTGTTTTTTCCTTCCGTTCTCTGGATAGTGCCCAAATGACCGTGACCCGCCATGGAGGAGATGGCCAGGCTGGAGAACATGACGACCACAACCACGACAACCACCAATGCAGATCCGCAGCACTGCCGTGTGGGTTACGAGTTTCTTGGCCGGCAGTGAGTTTTTGCGCTGCGCTGCGCATGGACGAGGGCTTCAGCAGCAATAATCTCGGCAGAACGAATCTGTTCAGGGTTCCCGGGGTGTTTTGACTCGAGTGCCTCAAGTCGCAAGTTGCAGCCATCACCATCCAGGCAATGTGGTGGCTATGACAAAGCTACCGGAACCAATTACTCCGGCACCACATGCTGTCACGCGGGCTTCTATTGCAAGAAGGCGGCGATGGAAGTAGCAGGGGAACAGCTCGGAGTCTCTTGTGAGTAGAGACTAGAGGGCATGTGATGCATGAGCCCTGCCAGACCGACGACTACTTCTCGCAGTGTGCCCCCGTCGATCCTTGGACCAAGCTAAGCCCTGTTGGCAAGAAGCTGGTTCTTCAGGTTTTGCTTCGGACAGTGAGTCTGGTTCTTGGAAACTTCCGCAGCAGGAGCGTCAGAAGCAGCAGTTCAGAACATGCCATAGGTTTCGGATTTAGGGTCCATGGGTTCAAGCCTTCAAGATTGTCCTGAACAATCAAGGACCGGAACAGCTCCTTCATGCCGTACAAGCCGACGGAGAAGCTGGAGGCAGCTGTGCACGCGGCATGAGTCCGTATGTGTATGTATGTATATATATATATATATATATATTATAAATATCTGTATGTATGTATGTATGCATGTATGTATGCTATATATATATATATATACACATAAGCACATGTGTATGTATATTTGTTGTAATTGTATATGTAATTACGTAAATATATATACACATGTGAAAATATGTATAGATGTCCACGTGCATGTATGTATGTATGTACGTATGTATGTATAGGTGTATATGTACATATATACACATATATGTACATGTCTGTTTGAGTCTGTCTGTTTATGTGTATGTACATATGTACATATGCACAAATGTATGTATGCATATATGTATGTATGCATATATGTATGTATGTATGGATATATGTCTATATGTCTATATGTCTATATGTCTATATGTGTATATGTCTCTATGTGTATTTATGCGTGTATGTATGTATCCATGCATATAGGTATCCATGTATGCATGTATCTATGTATGTCTACCTGTGCACTTGCTTATATGTATATGTATACATATATATATATATATATATATCTATATGTATATATGTACACATGTATATATGTACATATGCATATATATATATACATATATATATGTATATGTATATGTATATCCGTGTATATGTGTATAGGTATCTAGGTTTATATGTATTTATGTGTATATGTGTATAGGTATTTATGTGTATATGCATCTGTGTATACGTGTATATATGTACATAGATATATAGGCATATAGGTATTCAATCTATGTATGTACGTCATTGGGTATGTGTACATGCTTGCTGGCAGGGAGGGCATACATACTACAGATACCTATGTACGTACGTACGTACCCATGTACATACATAGATACATTCATGCGTACATGCGAACCTGCGTATGTTACATACGAATCTACATCGTACATGCATACACAGACAGACATACATAAAGTAATGCACACATGCATACATGCATACACACATACATACACACATACATACATACCTACATACCTACATACACGTTTCACGTTTACATACCAAATACTTAGATGTACATAAACATGCGTACATACGTACATAGATGCATGCATACGTAACTCCAAAACAATATGCATACATAAACACGCTCGCGCCCATATATAGATACATCTCCGTGTAGGTCTTTTTTTCTGAGTTCAGGAGCCGAGCAAGGCGCCCCTCTTCACCTTCTACGTCTATCGCGCGGCACGCGAGGCCGCGACCCGGTGGAGCTGAGTGTTGGACTCTTCACGGAAGCGAGAGTCGGCAGGATGATGACTATGTCGAGAACATCAATGTTGGAGATCTTGCTGGCACCTTGTGGTATCTGCACAACGAGGCCAGGCATTCATCTCGGGACTGGATTCTGAGCTTTCGGCAGACTTGCAGACCAAAATTCTGATCATCTCCGAATGGCAAATCGCATCTTGCACGTTGTGTGGCGAGGTCGTGTGGGTGAAACCCCGCAAGTTCGGAATCTCTCGCATCATCCGGTACAAGCCTCCCGGTAGCAGCCTGGTAAGCGGCAGATCGAATCGCCATGCCCATGTTAGATTCAGCAATTCGGCACAAAAGGTCTTAGGCGGCACCCGAAGCGTGAGCCTTGTTTGGTTGCAGTGTCGATAGCATTTTACGGTTCTCAATGGCCTTTGGTCGATCCAAGACTATCCTCATATACATATATATATATATATATATATAATATACACATATATGTACATACACACAAATATAGATCTTCATATTTAGCTGTATTTATCTGTATTTATACTAGACTGTATACTCTATACGACATTGACAAGAGTTCACACAATCAACGTATATGTATTTCCAGTTATATAATACATAGTATGTACCATATACTATACAATATGGGTTTTGTTATGCCATGGCGTATGTTTTGATGTTTGTTTTCATTTACGTAAGTATTTACTTTGATTCACAATTTATGATATTATAGCATATACTTTGAACAATATACTATGTACTTTGCTGAATGCACACAACACAATATACTGTAGCGGAATAATATGACATACTTTAGTATAGTAACGTCTAGTATACTATAATAGAATACAATATAGTTTACTATATGTAGAAAGGCATAACTTACACATACATACAGAATCCCAGCGCGGCATCTTGACATATATATATATACAAATGTAGATATATAACTGACATATGTATATATGTACACAGCAAAACACATACATACATATGTAACGCATTGTTGCATATTTGTATACATACATGTATATGTACATAGATACGCATGTGTACATTTATAGCAAAATGCAATATACGTATTACAATGTACTATAATGCAACATATCGTAACATAATGTAAAATAGTGTGATCAAATGCAATGTGATGTAGGAACATGTAATACAATGTAATATAATAGAGTTTACTGTAATATAATGCAATTTAGTGTTTTGTAATACACTGTAGTGTAATCGTGTAATATAATGTAGTATAATGCAAGAAACGTAATCGAGTTCAGTACGATATACTTATATAATACAGTCTAGTAGAAGATACTGTGCTGTAACATCTTGTATGCATACAGATACATATGTATGTATATACACATGGACTTGTCTATATGCATACACATGGTTGAAGCTGAGGATTTCGACTCGTGCAACACAGCCTCTGTACGATTTGGGAATGAACTTCGGTGTCCGCTACTCCTACGACGCAGCCCAGTGCACTGGACCTTCATTCGCAGTTAGTGGTTTAGGGTTTAAGGGTTTGAGGTTTAGGGATTTAGGGGCACTCCAGGGGCCGTCAGGGTTTCGAGACTGGCCAAAGCATGCGCGGACCGCAGCATCGCAGGACCGTGGTCGTGCGATTTGAACTACGAGAAGTTTGGGCTGCTTGGCCAAATGTCCCTGTGGGAGTTTCCGAAAATTAGGGGTACCTTCTTTAGGGGTCCTTATGATAAGGATCCTACTATATAGGGTGGTCCCCTATTTTCGGAAACTCCCATATAAGAACATTCATATGCTCTCGGTTCACCCCCCCCCCATCCCTCCCTACCCCCCGCCGCGTGCCCGAGTCCAAAGATGCCGAATCAGTGTGACTGCCCACACATCTCCCACATGGCGGCTCCAAATTCAACTGTGACGAGGATCTCGTCCGAACCACACCCGATCCTTGTGACAGTGGACGCTTTCCAACCAGGACTCCGACATGAGGGTACTAGAAAAGCAACTATCACGAGGATGGCATTCCTGACAGGCACCGTTCTTGCGACAGTCGACCCAAGAAAGGAACAGTATGCTGATGATGATGATGATGGTCATGACCATGATGATCATGATAATGCCACCACCCCCTCATCCAGACGTTTACCCCGAACTACACCACACTGCAGCCCAAGCAGACCCAAACCACAACCGCCCGAGCCCGAACCGGGGGGAAGGGGGTTACCAACCATGGGGGGGGGGAGGGGGGGGGGGCGGCCGCGCTGGGAGCATATACATGCATGTATGTGAGTGTTTAACTTTGGCCTCAGATGTACCGCTTCAGGAACATGTGAACGAACATAAACAAAGATCCTAGTCCTAAACAAACTAGATGAAGTATGTGCACGTGATTATTTTTACCAACAGGCACATTGCTTTCAAACCCTAGGCCAGGACAACATTGTAGATGCCAACATTCGTATAAATAGGAACACACAAACGAGATAAGTAAGTCTATTGATGAAGCTGCAGTTTCTTTAGAGGTTGAGTAGTCCTCCATATAAAGCATGAATATGCATGTACGCACACAAGCATGTTATTCAATATCTGCGAGTATGCCAAGAACAGCAAGTTAGATGGATAGATATGCTGATGTATGAACATCGATAGGAACGCAACTACAGCTACTCATCAACTACAGTGTGTTGTTTGTAGATACGAGATAAAACAACACGTTCGTAAGAGCTCTGTTCCTGGTCACGAATGTTCAGCTGAACCGTGCTGAGGTACTTTGTTGGATGCAACAACTTGGGCATGTTCCCTTTTCCGCTTTACGACACGCACTATCCTGATGCCGGGGCACCCAGTATCGCTCCGGTGAAGAAAGGATGCAGGTGAGCTTGCGGGACTGGCGTGTGATCGTAAGTCTGTTTACACTCTGGGCTGAGGCAGTTTGGTATGCGCTCCCCGGGGACTGCTCCTCCAAGGATTACGAGGCAACTATCCAATCAATGAGTGGTGAGCGGTGTGAGCGGTGTGAGCGGTGCGAGCGGTGTGAGCGATGGCGTGCGAACTGAGGACAAGGACCCGAAATGCATCGCAGAGCAACCCGGCGGCCGCTGCGAGGGTGAGCCAACAGGGCAAGGCCAGGACGTGTTTGCTGGGACTCCGCGCGGAAAGGCTCTGCCGTTCGCCAGGCAACTGTACCTACAGCATCGAGATCATGGGCGCCGTCACGATTGACGAAATCGAGGGAATCTCGAACTACCATGACTTCATCCACACAGGACCTGGAGTGTTGCAGCCCTGCGGTAAAGCACAGGAAAGCTTTCTCGCGTGTCTACGGTGAGCCAGCCCGGCAAACCTGTAGCCGGGCTTCTGCTTTCAAGCTATCAAGCGGTTTAGGGTTTAGGGTTTAGGGTTCAAGTTCCAGGGTGTGGCCCCCAATATCTATGCCCTCGATATGATGATGCGCCAGCCTTTTTGCACTCGCTTGCTGGTCTGTTCCATGCAGAGGGTACTCTTGGGGTCCCACGTACGTTATTTACTGCAGGGGTCTTGGGAAGTCAGGATTATATGGTCGAAAGAAAAATCGCTGTGAACCCACGCCTGCCAGCAAAAGTCCAGACAGTGCAGATAATATGCTTTTGAGGATGACATTCCGGAGCCATGCAGCGTTGAAGCTTAGGGTGTCTCCTAGAATCAAATGATCAAGCCTCCGAACCGCAAAACCTGCAGAAAAGCGCGCGCAAGAGACGTACGTGCATGGGCCCTTGTCTCGAGGAGACCAGGTCGAGTACAACAAGACCACGGACAAGGGTGTGGGCATGACTTTCTGGACGCGACCTCAGCAGAGTCTGCTCGGTAGTCGCTGAGCCAAAGCTGCACTGAGGGACCACATGAACGACACGGCCAAGAATGCAGAACGTGTGGAGAAGGTCCGGAAGATCTTCGAAACGAAGTTTCCGGACCAGGCCACCGATGAGGACATGAAGCCTCCAGCATGCGACTTTGACTTCGAGGTCTTTTATAACACAACCACGACCACAACCACAACCACAACCACCATCAGCACTTCAACAACCACCACAACCACTACAACCACTACAACCACCACAACCGCCGCAGCGACTACAACTGCCACTACGGAAAGCGCGGCCACCACGGCTGCGTCAACCACGGAAGCCTCGACCACGGTTGCTGCTGCGACAACCGTCAGCAGCACTGTGAGCGAGACTACGTCAGCCACTGAGGTTGCCACTGCTGCCCCCAGCACCACCACAACGACTGCAGCTGTTGAGAGCACAACGGCTGAGACTGAAGCAAACGCCTCCGAGTCAGAGTCCTCTGTTGAGGCCACAACCAGCTCCCCTATCAGTAATGTTTCCACCACCCTGACATCAACTCCAAAGGGTTGCAAGGTCACTCGTCCTCCTTGGACTGCTTCAAGTAATGTTCGAGTGTTCAACGCCTCTACAGCCGACCTTTCTCGTGCGCTGGTCCTAGGATGCTGTCATGGGCTCCCACTGCTACTCGTCAGTGATCTGGGCCATGGAGCATGGTCTCAAGCTGCATCCGACGTGGTCGGCGGCTCACAGATGGAACGTGCACGTGCCTGCGCGTGTCCATGCGCGCCTGCGTCGGTGTCCTCCCAACATGCGGTGCCGTGCCGTGGCGAGCCGCCGAGAGCCCAAGGTACCCGGGCCTTACGTCCGAGTCCACCTTCGCTGAGTTCCAGGACGCTTTCGCTTTCAGGGCTCGAGGGCGTGAAGGGTTTATTGGCTTTCGTGTGGGGTCTTTCAGGGTATTGAGGTAGCCTCTCACTGATCGTTCGTGGCAGGAACGAGTGCACCACGTCACGCCGGACGTGTGCCCGGTGCCCTGCACGGCGAAAGCAGGCTGCCATGATTCGGTGGAGGGTGAGTCCTGCTACTCTGCCGTGAAGTGGGTGGGGACCCCAGTCTCGGTGTGCGATTTTGCCGCAATCCTCCGAAGGGTCTGAGCCTCGATTTCATCAGGCCATGAAATCGGGCATCAAGAAGCATCCCCACTGGACTCTCTGCAGCAAAAGGAGGATCCCGATTCTAAAAGCCTTCCCATGCCTGCACTTGTGGTGCTCCACACAAGGTACCCTGGGCTCACCAAGGAGTCCTCTTTCAAGGACTTCCAGGCGAGCTCAAATTCTCCAAACTCCTGCATCAAGTGTTTCGGCACCTTAATTCTAAGAATCCTGACAGGCAGCAGTGCACAAGAAGCTTCCAAAGAAGTGCATGATGCCTTGCTCAGCCTGAGCTCCGGGTTTGTGCACCTTGTTTTTTCACTGCGGCATTTTAAGACGATGCGTGCATGGTCTCGTTGCTCCACATACGGAGAGATGTTCCAGAGACAGCTTCTTAAAGGACTTGATCTCCTGGAGCATGGCTAGGCCTGGCGAGAAAAGACGCGGAGTCTGCCAGTAAGCGTTCCTCCATCTCAATGTCATCGCGACCCCTCCATTCAGTGAAGAGGTCGGCAAAGCACACTGGAATTGTGCTCCCCTAAACCCTAAACCGTATCGGAGCACCAGCTAGCAGCTGGCCTTCTGCTTGTTCTCTCCTGCTTTCATCGCCAGACTTCAGCTCTCAAATGCCGCAGCACCGGAACTTCAAACCGGAGGAAACCATGGCTACTAGTATTACTACTAGTATCAGTATTGTTGTTATTCTTAGAATTAGTATTGGTATTACGATTATGGTGGATAATGTTAGCATTGCTATAATAACAATAATACTTGTTATTATTATTAAGACGAGTATGCCATTATTATTATTGTTATTTATATTAGTATTATCCATCATCATTATTCTCCGAACCCGAAGCTTTTCTGAACCGACCATCTTTGCGGTCGAAGAGATGGGGCGGAGCTAACTCCTTTGGCCCTCATTCTCCGGACACTACAGTCCTTTGCTATTATGAAACATTCAGTATGGTACAAGGTTATCATGTGTAATGAATCGTAATATGAGGTATAAAGTACACCAAGGTATCGGTTTGGGACGGTTCTGATTTATCCTTATAGTTTTGCATGGAGCCCCAAAAGTTAATACTGGGACTGCTGAAATCGATATAGAGAATATATAAATGAAAACAGATACATAAGGAATATCACATGATATGACATGACTGTATATATATATATATGTATGTATTCTGTATGTATGTATGTGTATGTATGTGTATGTATGTATGTATGTGTATGTATGTGTATGTATGTATGCATGCATGTATAGATGTATATGTATGTATGTATGTATGTGTATGTATGTATGTATATATGATATATGCATATATCTATATACGGATAGATGTATATACATACATATATATATATATACAGATAGATCTATCAACAGTATCAGAACTTCTGAATTTTGCCTTTCGGCCATGGCCGAGTCAGACTGGCCCGGCAACTACCTTCCCAGCGCATGCCCAGGCTGCGTCATCGTCGGGAGCCTAGAAAGTTTAGGGGACTGATGTATGGGCCTTCCTAGTTAGAATAGGGTTCTGGGGGCTCCTTATTACCATTATGGAAATATACCCCCAAACCCTATTTTCTAATTATTAAGGCCCCTATTTTGGGGTTAAAGGTTCAGGGTTCAGGAGAAGTCTGTCTCCAGAGCCCTTCGCTCGTGGCACCACTGCGACTTGGGCTGAAGGGCTCTGACTCATTCCGTGTACATCTTCCCGTAGTTTCCACGAATGGCACGGCTTGTAGGCAATGTAGGTTAAAACGGGATTGAGCACAGAAATTGATATGTTACTTCGCTGTCCGTGTGTACTCTCTCCGTAGCGTTACATAGGCAACGAGAGACTCTTCTGCAAGAGCACTGGCCAGTCTCGCTCCACAAATGGCCGTTGGCACGCCGGGAACAGAATTTTTAAGTAGCCGAGTTGCAGAGCATCGTCATCACAAGACCCAGCATAATCATGAACAAGGTCAACGCGTGTAGAGGATATGTTATCATCTGCATCAATATCTACGTCCAATCCCTTTCCCCTCGGATTAAACCACCCCCAAAAGTAAAACCACTTTTCGGAAAACTCCCTGAAACGAAAGCCAATGAATCCAGAAGTTAAGCAGAATTAAATCTCGTTTTACCCCCTGAAATCATCACAGCGTTTTGGAGCTTCATTTGGATTAGGGGGGTACTGGAGCAAGAGCAGGAGCAGGAGCAAATACAGGAGCAAGAGCAAGAAAAGAGGAGGAGCAAGATTAGGACCAAGGGCAAGAGCAGGAGCAAGAACAGGACCCCCAAAAGTGACAGTACGACGCAACTCCCAGCCATAGGACTGGGGCACGTTTTTAGTTTTTGGGGAAGGGGACTATGAATTTGTCTGTCCATGATGGCAGAAGTCGTTGTTATTCAAAGGGCCAGTTTGTTGCGAATATCGGGGAGGAAGTGCACCTTGTAAGTGACACGTCTTAGGTTCCTCTGGGCTCCCGAAAGCAAAGTATGCCTGCCATGCCTGGAGAAGAGCTTATTGTGTTGTCGAGGTCCACCGATCGCACCCAGCCATCGTTGGCATCTTCCCTGTGCAGGTCGCAGCTTTTGGGCGGGGCAGGTCTTAGGGGACAGCCTCACAGGCCCAAGACCTTATCGGGTTGTCTACAGACTAATATTCGAGGTGCTGACAAGTCCTGTGTTCACTTGGGCTGCGAGGATGCAACCAAGGCGCCCCAAGACCGGGTTCAGCTCCACCCGCACTCCATGTGGCCCCGCCGGAAACTGCTTGTGTCCACGACGCCGGCACATAAATGCCCGACCTAAGTTTGCTAAAAGGATGGAGCGCTGCAGCGCTACAAGAGCCGGCTAGTGTTACACTCATGTCGGGACACGTCCGAACCACAAGGTCGCTTTTAAGCTGGTTCATGATGAGAGGTTCCTTCTGGGCCTTGGACGCGGATTGTCGCTTTCCGAACCGAAGCCCTTGCTGTGAAAGCATATCGCGAGTATGAGAGAGTGAACGAAAATCTCGACGAGCCGGGAAACATCGAACAACGAGGATGTCGCGACCGATGTGGGGCGCATGGCAATCCTCGGCAAACAAACATGACAAGCCAAGCAGGTGCAAAGATTTGTAGACTGTCGTCTTGTGGGGGTTGTTTGGGGGTTCCGCGTCGGTTTGGCCGGGGGTGTATCTCAGGATTTCGCTGCAGTTGACAAGTTCAATTCGTAGAGCAATCGTGCCTCAGAGCCATCCACGCGCCTGCTGCGAGGAGTCTGGCAGCGCTGACGACACTTTTCAGTGGGACCCGCAAAGCAAGGCGACGCTTCGATTGGTGCACCTGTGCTTGCGTTACCAAGTCCACGTGTTTTGTTTTAAGAAATACTCTGAGCAGGTCTTCACAGTGGTCAATGCAAAACGGTATCCGTGCTTCACGTGACTCAGTCTGCATTTGTCACAGAAGCGGGAAGTGCCGCTCGGAAAGGCACAGCATACAGGCAGCATACATTGAAAGACTTGTTGCGACATGATACCAGATGAAGTATAGCGACATGCGCCACTCGACCTGAGACCAGAAGTGTCATATTCTGCACACATGGGTTGCAAGGTGGTGAAGCATAGCACAGAGGGAGGTAGAGGTGTTTGTGATGCAATCTGTCGTACTGAATGGTCACGCATCGATGTAGCCCAATCTCACCGCTCAATGAAGCATAAACTAACCCATGACAAAAGCAATACAAAGCCAAAAGGTGGATCAACAAGCTAAGCATTTGAAGCAGGTCAGGCCTGCAGCATTGTGCGCGGGTGTGTTCGTACAGCATAAGGACGTAATGTTCATGTCGTTGCTCGGACTCCGGCCGTAGGTTTATTGCCTCCAGCTTTCTCAACTCTAAGTGCATGCTTGGTAGAGGCTATGGTTGTATGCATGCAGTGTGCAGGAAGTGTGTGTGCATCAAGCTTCGAAGCGAGTGACGTACTTTTGATGCAATGTGTTGGTTATGTTTCTTGGATGCAACGTGGAAACGTCTTGTGCCTGAGCTGTGACAACTTGTCGTTGCATGTGTATGTACTTGTTATGTGCTACACATGTTGTGAGCGAAATGGTAACGCCGCCTGACGTCAAGGTTGCAGCTAAGTTTGTGATTCGGTTTGAACTTTTCTATATGACACTGAAGCCCAACCAAGATGTGTGAAATCAGTATCGTTTGCCTGATGCATGTCCGTGCAATGTGGTGTGATGCGACTTCTTGTGATGTAGTGGAATCAAAATCCGCTGATGTTTTGACTCTGATCGCCATGTCTTGTCTCTTGAGGTACCTGACATTCCTGGGCACCCATGTTCACGATAGACATGGCCGGCCCTTTGAACCAGGCCGCCAAACGGCCGTCGTCGCCTTCGTGGGTGCAAGGATCGAAGCAAGATAATCTCAAGTCAGATCCCAAATGAGAAGATTCTTGCAAAGAGGGCCCCCGTAAGTAGCATGGCCCGTGGTAGAAGGGCTCGCAAAAAATATCCTACTTCTTTCGGTTTTCATTGGTTCTGCGTTTGGCTTGGAGCAGCTTTGGCGAATCGATGCCCTCCGCACTGAGTCCTTGCCTGGCCAGGCTTCACAAGGTCGGACGCAGGGGCGGAACAGATGGCCCTGACTGGGCCTCAGTGACGGGCGTTCGGAAAAATGGCTACTATCAGGCTGATGATAGCTTGCTTTAGTTGGTTCAGGGAGTCTGGAATGGCATATGCTCATCACCACGAAGTGACGAGTATTCGTTGTCACTTGGGGCGCCGACAGACGTTTTTCTGCCTTTGAGAGGACCTTCGTTGTGGTGGCAGATCCCATGACCGCGGTCCGCCTTGGAAGGGTCGAGGCCCTCGAGCTTGAAGTTTGACTTCAGGCTTTAGGTCTGGGGTTTAGGGCCGTTTTGGGCCGTTTTGGGCCGTTTAGGGCCGTTTAGGGTTTAGGGTTTATAGAGCCGGAGTTTCAGCTCATGCTACATGTTTCATGCCGTGGCGACAGGAGCTTGAGCAGCTCCATGCTCTACGGTTCTTGCCGCATCGCAAGCAACCGCTACTCTTGCAGAGCCCAAAGGATCCCGAAGGTTAAAATCAGATAAACTACTAAACCCTTCTCCCATGATAAGGAGTATCCATGATAAGGATGGTAATGGGGATCCGAAGCCCCAAACCCTGAATCCCAAGCCCTAAACTCTAACCATGAACAAAGGGGTCTTATCACTGGGTTCCGAGGCGGCGACGTCAGGTTTCTTTGCCATCGAGCTTGAGCAGCTGCAGGCAGATCCGTCTCCCCTGCGCCAATATTAAGCCGCTACTGCTGCTACTGCTACCACTACTGCGCCGACTACTACTACCGCTACTACTACCACGACCACCACTGGTACTGGTCTGGTGCCAGTGCTAGTGCTGGTGCTGCCACTGCTACAGCTACTGCTATGACGACGACGACTTCTGCTACGACTACTATTGCGACTGGTATTGATCGTGACAACGATTATTGCAAGCACAACGTTACTTGTAATAGTGGCGACAACGGTAGCGGCCGATTGGTAGTGGTAATGGTAGTCATGGCAACTATGGTTCCCGCCATCAAGGTGATCCTGATGATGCAACTGTTTGAGGATGCCGTTTGTTACGAGGTATGTAGTAGCGAGTTTACGACCTACCTTTGACGCGTGTGTGTATCAGAAACGGTAGCTGGAGAGGATGTCGTCGTCGGCGTCGTCGTTGATGTTGATGCTCAGGGTGATACCGTACCTGGTGTAACATTGAAGCCAACTGCCACGCTCAAGCTACTGTGCGCGTGCGCAAGCAACCTTACTAGCAACAAGACCGTTCGTAAATGTTGGTATCGGCAAGACTGTTGCCGACTTCACATCTCCACCGCCTCGGAGATGCATTCGCCGTCAATGGCCAAAGCAGGCCAATCATGAGGCAGCCCTGCTTCCCCAGCCCAGTGTAGCAACGAATTACTAAGCATTTTGCAGATGATGATTATGCCAATGGTATTGAGGATGGTCAGGCTATTCATTATAGGCATGGAAGCGAAACGACGGTCGCTGTAATCTCATCACTTCTCATCCCTCACATGTCCCATGGCGCAAGCACCAAGTGCTTCCAGGCACCCTCAGTGCCGGCCGCCCTCCAGGCGCATGAGGATCCGGAATCGGAATGTGTGGCCTTGGCATCTTCCGAGCGCAGACGTGGGCGCCTCCTGAGGATCCCGAGGGCTATGCCTTCCCGCTCCCCGATGCTGCTGGACCATACCTTTGTACCCAAGGCATTGGAGGACACCGGATTTGACTTGGAGTCAGTTTTTGCTATTGAGCCTCAGAGCCTGTAGTTCTCAGCTCTGGCTTCCGCAGCCGTCGAAGCAAGGACACCTGACTCATTTCTTCCCGGAGCCTGTGGCGGCAAGTTGCTTCTTGCCATGCCTCAGTGTTTGGTGACCGGGCAAGGGTTGACTCACGCTAAGGAGAGCTATCATGCGGTAGATCTTCGATGCGCAATGCACACGCCGGTGCTGAGCATTGGAGATGGCATTGTGAAGGAAATCGCGCAGACACACAAGTGTCTTGCCCTTGACATCTGCACACTCTTCGTCGGAGTGTGGATCCTGGCCATGCCCGAGTTCGGGCAGAAGTTAGCTTAGATTAGATTTGAATTTGCAGTGCCGGTTGATTCTTCACTTTGGGTAATCCTTATGTCTAATCCTTGTAACCCTTGTCGTAAGTAGCCCTTACAGTACCGTATGATAAACTTTATGGTCCAATCAGCAGCTCGCCCGGAGATCATTTATCATGTTGCCCATGCCAGGTGTGGCGGAATCCATGCCGCCAACCTGGCAAAGTGGAACTCGGTTTCCGTGTCTAGTCGCAACAAGGAGCAAATGGAGACTTGCCGACATTGTGCATATTCTCTAAATTGCGTCACTTCCAGGGTCCTTTTTCAGGGTGCAGTGCCCTCATCTGGAGAACTACCCACATGCTCGTTCCTGCAAGTGTCTGGACCAAGTGCACCCCGAGTTCTTGGCTTCTGGTCTTGTCGTTAAGTCTAGCACATCTCTGAGCCGGAGCATGCTCGCATCTCATGATGTAGGTGTGAGTGTTGCTCGCGCAGCCGGAGGTCGTGTTGGAATCTGGCATCATCGTGGACTATCTCCACATCCTTGCGGACACAGCGCGTGTTCAGGCATGAGTGGTCTGATCGGGAGCTGATCCGGAGTCACTGCATCGTGGTGACATGCAGTTGGAGCGCAGACAGTTACGAGAGGGGCGTCTATCTTTCGTTGCCTGTGCTCCCGTGCTCTCCAGTAGCTGAAGTCCTGAAGCATTGCCAATACAAGCGGATACGGTTTGACAGACAGGTCGGCGACCACGTTAGGCGTGGACAAGTTCTCTGCGAATCTGGCGATATTGGCTTCGCGCCAGAACCGCAGCATGACTTCAACGGTAACTGGAGTCAGTGCTCGGTCCAGTGCAGTTCCGGTTGTTTAAAGATCGAGCTTAAATCAATGTGGCTCTCCCAGCAATATTAACCACCACCACAGGATCTGATACGTGCAGTAGGAAACTGCCTGGTCTCCGCAGGCACCTTCACGTAGAGTTGCACAGCGCAGCGGATCCGGACGGGCCTTCCCTGCCTCTTCACTTTGGCCGAGAACGCTTCTAGGCCGCAATCAGCAGCCAGTCAAGTTACAGGGGCATTTCAGAAATGGACACCACACAAATACAAATGCGTAAATGAGTGTATATGTATATATGTAATACATAGAGAAAACCCTTTAAAAAAAAGCCTTGGCTGTGTGCAAGCAAGAGAGAGGGGGAGAGAGAGAGAGAGAGAGTAGCCATTTTGGCTCAAGTGCTGCACCTTTGCTGAGAGGCCTGTGCCGCCTCTTGGCATCGGGGGGGGAGCGTGAAGGTTAACCTGAGGTTGTGCCCTCGGGGGAGCCGGATCGTTAACCCCAGCGGTGCTTGAGTCTTACGCCGCAGCTCATTTTGTTTAAGAGGCCCGAAGGGTTTGCGCATTACGGGACCCCCTGACCACGGCCCTCCTTCGGGAGGTGGCCCGTCAGTAGGGGGGGACCGCCATTCTACTTCACACCGGAACTGGAAGCGATCGTCCTGGTGGGGGAGATGCAATGCAGACTATGCCGCGAAGCCGGCGGAACCTGCAGGCCGGGGATGAAAAAAGTGCATGTGAGAAGTGATCCGGCATGCCGTTTGCACGGCGTTACCAGCAGAGCCAACGTGGCAATGGCATCCCGAAAGCCCAAGGGGGAACCAAGGGAGAGACGACAGAGCCAAGATGGGGGAGAAGCCAGCTCCTCAACCAGACAAGACGGGGGAGAAGCCAGCTCCTCATCCAGGCAAGCACGAGGACTGGGGGGAATGGTTCAGCATGAGACAAAGGGAGGGCTTCACCTGCTGTTCCACCCAAGCCCGCTCGACGTGTGGATCGGGCGAGCAGTGCAACAAGACGAGGACACAGGCGAACTCCAGAACGAAAGGGGAGAAGCTTTGGGGGAGCATGATCAAGAGACCTACTCCGCCTATAGGGGACGACTCCTCCATCGCCGAGCTCTCGGAGCAGCTGCAGACAAGCTCGTGAAGATAACGGACCGGCTGCTACCCAAGATAGCCAACTAAACCCGCGCTTTCGTCATGCGCTTCCCGCACCGCATACCGAAACTTCTTCACGATGCTCGCAAGCTGAAGAAGAAGAAAATGCAGAAGGCCCAGCAAGCCACGCGAGGGGGACGAGAACGAGCACAGGCAAGCCGTGTGACACCAGTGCTTGCACGGGGGAATGTGGGACCTACCGCGCCACCCTCGCCAGTGAGAGCTGAAGAGACTCCGCCCGATTGGGGAGGAACCACAGACGATGATGATGGGGACACCGCGGAGGCAGCCACAAGTGGTGACGTACAGTGGCCGTGGGGAGCCAAAGGCAGACCGTCGGATCGGGAGACGAACCCCAGACGTCCCTCCGAACCGACGGGGGAGCCACCACAGCGTCTCCGACCAGCCCGAGAAGGAGCACGAGGAGCAGAAGGGGAGTCGCAGGCCAAGCGAAGGAAGCCACAGTCTCCAACAAGGGAGTCACCAAGGACAGGGGGGAGACCAGCCGTCGCCCTGATCCCAAGCCTACGGCACCAGGTGCAAGAAGTACAGCAGCACATGTCGCGCAAAAGAGGGGGACGCTGAAGAACTGACGCAGAGTGAGCGTGGCAAACAGTTTTCCTGAGACGGCCGTTGCGGGGGATTGTGGAGGGCTTTTCGGGCTTGTTTGGTGTTTGTAGGAGGTCTTCTTGCTTGCTGCCCTCCCCTTTCCACCGTGACCAATACTGTCCTCACATTGCAACTGCTTATTGGGGGACCCAACTAGTTGCCCTTGCCCTTGCCGGGGGGATGCACGTTTTCTGTACCATATGTGACATATAATGCTTAGCTTCTTGCTTTCAACCACACCCGTCGCCACACGACGGCTTCTTTCCGCCTGACACAATTCATGCACCGCCGTCGAAAGACGAAGACAGTTCCGCCCTATTGCCGCAAATTCGGCCCGCCTGCTCCGCTGCAGGAGGGGTTATTTAATTCAACAAAACTCCCTTTGTCGAGTACTGTGGCTAGAGTGTCTTGTTTGTGGGGGGCTGTTTTTGGAAAACCTGACAAGGGGGAGAAACCCAACCGGCTTTTTCCATTTCCTTTTGTGAAAGCTCCAACCACAGTGCAGCGAAACCTGCTTAGGAACACTTAGGTACATGGGTACGGCTAGCCATAGGGGCGCGGTGATGAGGCCGGGACGCGGGGGGTTTTAGCGTTCTAAGCGGGGATTGCTGCACGACAACCTGGAGCATATTTTGTAGTTCCTTGCCGTAGTCTGGAATGGCCCCAATGCCAACCACTCACTAACACAGTGGGGGGGTTGGGCGGGCTGAAAGCCTGAGGATCTCTCGGGACCCCTAAGCCCAGCAGAAAGAAAGAAAGAAAGAGAGAGAGAGAGAAGGCAAGCCACGATAGCCATGCCCTCGACCGCGCTCAGACGAGACTGCAGAAGGCGTACGACATGCTCGACGGGGTCATCCTTCGCACCTTGGGGGGAGACCGAAACTGGAGCGACCTCCAGTGGTGGGACACGCTCCTGGACCACCTTGCGCCGGCCACGCTCCTGCTGGAGAAGACAGACAAGCCGGGGGAGACACACCCGGCAGACGTGATCAACCTGGAGAGGGGAAGCAAAGAATGGACTTCCCGAACCAGTACCACTATGTCGTCGACGATGCGCCTCCTCGAAGCAGCAGCCGAACTCCGTGAAGCAGCAGCCTTCATGGGGGATGGAGACCTGGCGCCCGTGCTCGCCGTCCTGCACGCCCTGGAAAACTGGCAACAGTCGCTCTTCGGGGGGAACCCAGCGGTCAACGAAGAGACCCAGACAGCAGCAGCCGCCACAGAAGACGAGGGGGAGAACCACGACAAGGACGAGGGGGCAAAAAAGCCCAAAAGAAAGTGGTTTGGCCTCACTGGCGTTAACGAGGAGGAGATAGCAGCCCTGGAGACAGATAGCTTTCTGGCGGACCTGAACGAGGTTGACATGCTCCCCACCTTGCCGCTACCGGGGGAACTGCCGAACAGTCAGTCAAGTACTATGCCCTGGAGCCCACCAACCGCGGTGCCAGTGGGGACGGTACTACAACCGGCGACTACAGAAGTGAGCCAAAGTGAGGGGGAAGTTGACTCTAACCCCAGCCCAGAAGAACACAGGCGTAGACGGATGCTAGCAGCATTCTATGACAGACAGGGGCCCAGCTGAAGGGGGAAACATCCGCTTCACAAAAGCCCAGCTGCTACAGTAGCCACACCCTGCAGGGAGCATAGTGTTAATACTAGTTGCCTGTGACCACCCTACGACTGCTTCACAACCCTGCAGAGTAGGTACCAACACGAGGGGGAGAAAACTAACTAATCCTCTTTCTTCTTGCCCTATGGACACCTGTTCTGCAAGCTGTTGTGCAACAAGACTCCCAACCTCGCAACACTGTAGAGTACTAAACTAGGCAAGGCACAATGGGGGGAACGTCCTATACCTTCCTGCAAGCTGTCTGCACAGTGTACCCCAATGCACTTCCCAAAACGTACTGGACTTAGCTGTTGTTACGTGTTGTATCGGGGAAGTGCTGCCTGCCATAGGTACTACTTGGGGGGAATCGCCTGTCGCAGGGACTTAGGATAGTGCTACAGAGAGCGCGGTGATGAGGCCGGGAGGCGCGATAACGTACCGGGTCAGGGAGGTTTACCGACAGGCGATCACCACAAGTTACAACGACCACGGGGGGCAAAACCCCAAGCGCTGCTGCCCCAAAGCCCTTTTCCACCGAAGATGGGGGAAAGGGGGCGCTCCGGCGCAGGCTCTTCGGAGCTTGACCCTGGTGAAGTGAAGTGAAGAGAGAGAGAGAGAGAGAGAGAGAGAGCGCTTTCTCATTCACTCACTGTCTCTCTTTCACTGGCTGTCTCTCATTCACTCACTAACTCTCTCTCTCTCTCTCTCTCTCTGATACCCCCGGTTATCTATCCAGTTTGTGTTGTTTGAAGGAGAACCCCACACATGTGAACGATGACGGAAGTCAGACGGTGTGTGATTTATTGTTTTGTTTGGGCGGGAGGGGCTTATCATTCATTGCTACCGTCCTCTCCCGCTTACAATCTCTGACAATCACATAGTCTCCGGATCTCTCCTGCATATGCTGGAAGAGTCATGCCCATATCCGGCCCCTGCCCGCGGGCACCTGAAGGGTGTACAATCTTTCAGCCACGAACACTGGTGGACTCAGGCGCCCATCCTTGAAGGCCTTTGATTCACTCCATGCCACAGCATGATACTGTATAAGTGAGCTGATTGGTCGGTTAAGATGTCAAAATAACGAAGAATCCAAGGTAAATGTGTTTCTCAAAAGTGCGCTCTCAGCAGCGTTTCGTGTCACATCCCAGCCCCAAGCCACCCGAAACTTCCTGGAGCCCGAGCCTGTCCCAGATTCTTAGGGTTGAGCACCGTCCCTCCTGTTCCTACACTTAAAACCTGAAACCTCTTTGTGACCTGTCCGGCAACGCTAGAAAGGCCGTTCTGGAGTCTCCTTGATTGCCTGCATGTGCCGGAGAAGGGTCATTTAGCAGGATCCGCTAGGAACTCGGTAATGTTTGGGTATGAAGTTCTTTGTCGTTTAGGGGATCCAAGGTGCTGTTGGGGATACAAATCTCAACCTGGCATGCCCATGCAATCTTTATTGTCCCTTGTAATTCCTCTAAATTTCCTCTTGTTGTGAATTAAAACATTATTCGCCACTATAGTTCGGGTACAAGGCTCCAATTATTGTTGCTGGATGGCTGAAAGAGCAGGCTCTGTCCCTGTGGCGGGCCGCTGGTATACCTCGGTGGGGGAGGCTGGCGCGGCAGCCCGCGCTGCCCACCTGATTTGCATTCCTCACATTAGATAGATACAGGTAGAACATGCAAGCGCTATGAAAGTTACCCGCCTATTGTGTTGGCATGTGTGCCCATGCATGCCCATGTTTGCATTTTCTGCGGTTCCATGCCTTTATGCATGCGCATGCACCCACATATGTGTTCAATTGGACAGTGCATGCGTAACTACTGGTACGAAATAACGTATGCATGTCGCAGTTCTTGTTGCTTGACAAGGCGAATGCATGACATGCATTGACCACGGATGCTATTGTGTTCACTTCTGCTACTGCTCCACTGCCCTACTGCTCTACTGTTTTACTACTACTCCTACTACTACTACTACTACTACGACGACTACTACTACACTAGAAGATAGGTTTGATACGGGGGGTATGATGTGGCTTGAATTCTTCGGGTGCAGATGCATTCCTGCTTGACAATGGATCCTGGCAAAGGATGTACTTCTACACCGTGTGACCTGTCTTTGCTATCATTGTGTCATTCGAGGAAGGCAAATCTCGGCTGCGAGGGCTGGGCGCTATTTAGGGGCCTCCTGTTCGGTATCTTGAGCGTCACCGTAGCAGGTAGAGGCCCCGCAAGACGTCCCGCCGCCGGCGCCTACGATGCTGCGTCCAAGCGGAGGCATGCTCTGTCATCACGTTTGTTACGCCACAGGTCGTGGGCGCCCCCGGGGCCGAGGTGCTTTTGAGCCTGGTAAGGTGTTCATGGCTCGAGTAGGCCCGAATCATCCCTTGGCGTTCGCAGGCTTGAAGGCGATCCATAGGTGAAGCTATCATGACCAGGATTGGATTTTTGCTCGATTTTTCAGACGATGACGTTCTTCCAAACAGCTGTTTTCTTGCTGCTTGCGGTCAGTGCCACGTAGCCGTTCTTAGTGGGAGTCCGGACAGCCCGAAGCCTGTGCCACCGAGCCGACCGCGTCACTCTGAATAGTCTAGAATTCAAGACTTCAGCCTCAAGCCTTACCGCCAGGCGTGGTGTCCAAGTCGCGGCGCCGGCTACAACGCCTCGAGCGCTTGAGGCAGCGCGTCAGGAGCCCGTAGTGGATGAGCGACTTCGCGACCTTCGTACAAAGATGCCATCTAGACCCTAAGCCGTAAGCCCAAAAAGTCAGTGTACTGGCATACAGCCATGTACTGGTGATTGTAAAATACGAGTGCCAGGTTCGGACCGGAACTTAGGCCGGCAAGTTGGGCTTGCTGACGGGTAATGGGCAGCAGAGCGCAGCAACGCCGTCGCGAGATGCCTTTGAAGGGAAGCCGACCTTTCTGACTCTGCAGGACCGGTGCACGAGCTTCAGAGCCAGCTTGGCACCGAGACGGAGCTGCACTCCGGGAGAGTACGACTGCAAGCTCAATGGCCAGAAATCCTATGAAACTGGGAAGCTTGAGTTTGGGCTCACCGTGTGTGCACCGAGGTTGTCGCAAGAACTGGCGAGTAGTGCGCGAAAAAGTGCGGCATGGGTATTGGAGAATGCATTACAGGTCACATGACGAAGCGCGTCAGAGCGAGCAGCGACTCGCACCTTCTGTTGGATTGCCTACAAATCTCAAGCCGGGCAACACCGCTGCGCAAATGCATCGAGAAAGTAAGCACTGACACCAGCAGAGTGTTAGCCGCACTGAGCACAGACTTGAGACTTCAGCATCACTTCGGCCGATTTCGGAAAAAATCGGAGCCACCGTCCACTCGCATTTTTCTGGCATCCGCCACTGTTTTCCTTCTGCTGGACGCTGGCATGGTTGTCGCCCGGAGCTTGGCTGGATCCAGCGCCCGCATGCTTAGCCTATCGAATCTTTGAGGTAGACTCAAGTCCGCCGTCTCCAGGTGACGGTGCAGTTCTGGGCGGAGGGCCAGCGATGGCAGCGCGACTTCGAGATAGAGGCAGATGCGACGATTCGTGCGCTGAAGGAGCCTGTGAAGCAGACCAGAGGAGTCAAAGTTGCTGGAGGCTTAAAGCGAGCTGTTACGTAATAGCATCATGTATGAATACCAACATTCTGATTTTATGTTATATGTTAAGGAACTTATAATCTATAGCTATATATCAAGATAATGCGTGGTTTCTGTACATTTATGTACATTGTTATGCGCTATTATATGTCATTAGCTAGCTTCTCGGAGCATGTTTCTTCAGGCTCTCGTCGTGTCTCTGTTGGTGGTTCTTGGCGTTTTGACATGATCGCCGCAGTTGGACTGGGTACAGGAGTCCATGCTGAATCCCCACGGTGGCGAGGAGGATCGACACACCCGCAGCAGTTAAACTTCATGGTTTGTGCGCTGCTTTTCCAGAACAGTAGATCTGATGGTCCGGCTTTCGCCACATGGGGAGCGCTTACAAAGCTCTATGTTTTGAGTGAGCCCGGCACGGCGCGAGCTTTCCCTGTGGCCAGGACATTGACGCCTTTGAACTACGGCCACGGGCTAAAAGATGACCCCGCGTTTGTGGGGCGCAGTTTCTGTTGCGGTTGTGGCACCGACGTGTAGCGACTTGGAGACTGCCGCCTTTCGAGGATGCGTGGACGCCGGGTACCGGACTTCGAGAAGGTCTCGCAGGACTCAGAGTCTCAGGCGTCTGTTGGGTGAACTCGCCCCCCCGCACGTGAATGCTTCGGGAAGTTGCCTTCGATTCGCTTGACAGGATTGCACTCTGGACTTTGAGTACCTTGGAGCATCCGAGGGTGCACGAAAGGCTCCAGAGTATCTGAAGACGGCATGGTAGTGACAAAGGCTCCTCCCGAGCTAGGACGCTAGGACTTCTCCCCCTCCACACGGCAGGCGCGGCTGGACCGGCAGGATGAGGCGAGATGGGATGTGCTCCAGCTGCCACAGCAGGCGACCCCTCAACCTATGGCCTTTGCCGACGCACAGTGAGTGCTGCTGGATTCTTTTCCCGAGCAAGGAGCCACCCGAGCGCATCCGCCCCCGATCGGTGCCGGCAGCGAAGAAGAGCGACAGCTCCATTGCATGAACCTGAGAGCGCGGGTCTGTGTGCTTCGTACGGTTGCAGCATGCCAGCTACTCCCGTCACTTGCATTCTTACCCGTTTGCCACTGGCCGCCACAAAGATAATGTCTCGCAAGAGGGTCCCTGCCAATCAACTAGTATGTCGGCCGTCAGGCACGCAGCGAAACATCTGACGAGGCCACTCCTCACAGTCCAGGTCGCAGAATGTCGTGTGGTCGTGCTTGAAAACCGCTTGCCGAGTTCTTCCGACCCACGCCGGCACCGCGCCCGGCGGGAGCTGCACGCAAGGAGCGGGGTTGAGGGGAGTGGGGGATCCTGGCTCCGGCCAAAAGCCGCTGTTTGCCAGGGCCCCCCGGCTCCGGTGAAGCGTTGGGAAGTGGTGGGTGGCTCTGACAAGGGAGGTGCCGCGACTTGGGACCTCTGCCTCTCTTCCTTTTTAGATGGGCCCTTGTTACAAAGAGACGTGATACCAAGTAGCTCAGTAGCTCTACTTCAGGCATCTTGGTGCGGGAAGGCCAGTCAACCACCTCCAAGCAGCTCGCAGACCGCTTGTCCACAGGCGTCCACCGGTTGTGCAGTGTGGACTGACCCACTGCATTAGAGCATGATCTATGTCCTGGTTGCAGATGTAGGGTTGAGCCGACTGCGCTATGTGCATGGCACGCAGCGGCTGATTCATGCCAGGTGCTCTGGTTGAAGAGCTAGATCTGCGAGGAGAGCGGCTCCAGTTCAAGAGGTGGGATCGAGGGCGCTTGAACATGGCGCTTGGCAACCGTATTCAGTGTTGATCGACCCGTTCTGGTTTCATGCGATGTAGTTTCACGTGTCAACACAAGCCTGTGAATGATGCCAAGCAGCCTGTTGGCGGTTCTGCAACGCTTTCAAGCTCTTGGATCGTTCGTTGGAGCTTCTTTTGCCAGGCTAACCGGTACTGGCCCCGAGACAGGCGCGGCCAGGCAGAGGGTTGCCGAGTTTTGCACACAAGTCTCTTGCCAGGCTGGGTCAGCCCGGAGCTGAGCAGCTGGCCGCAGCTGGCCCCTCTTGCCAAAAACTCTAAAGCCTGGTTGGGCTGTGGGCCAGGAGCTATGAGGAAAGCGAGCACAGCACCGATCAGCACCTACCGAAAATCTTCACAAGAATGTTTTTTTGGCGTGGCCACTGGATATGTCTCAGGATCCAAGACCACGAAGTGCGATCTGCTACCCCGAGGGAAGATGCTAGAACTCCACTCATCTCCAGTCCCTTGCAATCCACAATGAGCCCCACTTATGGATTTCCAGTCTTTTTCGGATCCTGTTTTGCCGCCGTTGCGAGGGGGTCGGCTCCCTCGAAGTCATGCTCTCCCTCGCAAATCACGCAAATGTGTAAAGTTGGGGGATGCCGGTGCTTTCTGCCATGCGGCGACCGGGCCGGTTCGCTGTTTCGATGCTTTGAATCCCTTGTGTGTCTGAGCTTTGAATATGGGTGGTTGTCAAAATTAGGGTCCCTTCTTGGGTCCCTATTATAATGCGGCACTTAATATTTAGGGTACCCCAAAAGGGACCCTAATTTTGACAACTACCCATATGTGCCTGGTGACCTGAGTGACCTGAGGCCTCAGTGTCTCTGGCAAGGACGGGAGTTCGAATCAGCGAGTCCACCGTGTTAGCAGAGATGCCGCAAAGCTCCAGGAGTTGGTTCGCCCAAAGCAGACGTCACCGCAGGAGATGCTGACGACCCGACCTGAGTTAGGGCAGGTCCGAGGTTCCCGGTGAGAGAGCTACGGTTTCGGGCCCTAAAGTTTCGGGGTTGGGGTTCAGGAGCCGTATCCTGGGACCCTGGACACGCCCAGCGCATGCTCTGCTCAGGCTAGATTGCGCGCTCTCGCTTCAAGAAGAGCTCATGGAGGGCTTCGGGAAGCTGGAAGCTCGCTTTTTGACACGGGAAGACTTGCTTCAATCATGTTCACCCGTGTGTTCTCACATCTCCGGTTCTAAGGGCAGATTGCCCGGAGCCGTCAGTGCTTCTATTTTGCTTCCTAGGCCAGAATTCCAGCGGACACTGGCGCAGCTCGTTCGCGCGTTGCTTGATTGCAATCTGTTGGAAAACTCTTCTGCATGGTTGCATCATGCAGAAGAGGGGCCCTTGCCGACAAAAATCTTCTTTTCGAAGTTTGGGGCACTCGCCCAGGCATCCGACAAAGGCCGGCGCTGAATTCTTGAGGAAGCGTGCGGCACCGAGCACTGAGAGCCGAGAGAAACCCTAAATCTACAGATCCCCAAAGCGGAGAATATTTCTAGACCTTATGCTAAACTTCCCAAACTCTCCAAACACCCTGAACCCAAAAACTTAGCGAATCCCTCAAACCCCGAGAGTTTTTTGCCGGCCAGTTCCTGTCAAGGCACAGAGCTCTTCCTCTCTGTGCAGAGCGTTGTTCTCCCGAGGCCGATGTTTAGACTTGTTTTCAGATTGTCCCGAAGGGTTTGGGGCGAAGTTGGGCTTAGCTTTCGGGGTTTGGGGCTTAGGGGTTAGGGACGGTTTAGGGTTTAGGGTGCAGGGCTGAGGAACGTTCTCCCAGCCGCAGCTCCCTGAAAAAGGTATGGCTTCGAGGGCTCGCCGAAGGCCGGAAGCAATCTATTGCAGCAGGTTCTCTCTTGCAGACTCTGCAAATTGCAGTGGGTGCTTCTGCGAATCAGATCAATTTTTGCTCCAGCCCCATCCATATGGGTAGTTGTCAAAATTAGGGTCCCTTTTTGGGTCCTTATTACAATACGGCACCTAATATTTAGGGTACCCAAAAAGGGACCCTCATTTTGACAACCCCACCCATATCCTTGCCTCTACAGGGCGTGGTTCAGATGATGGCGGCCTACGCACCTCACGGCCTTGCACTCACTGCGATCGGGGGCAAACTTTCGGCTCACGCCAAGGAGGAGGTTCATGCATTATTATGTTCATTATCATTTAGCATTATTACTACTATTATTGCAATCACAAACTATTATGAGTATATGCATACAATGCATATACCTATGCCGTCCAAAGCTTTGGCAATTCGTCGGGGTTTGGACTGCCTGAGTCCCAGGTCACTGCCCAGAAGTGGGCTGGAACAACGATCAGCTGAATAAGCTGCTTCAAATGTAAAAAAGATACGCGCAGGGGAAATCTCTTCAAGGTCCATTGATCTGCTTCTGGAGTTTCTTGACCCTTCGGGATACATGAACTCGTGCAGCTGCTGATAAATCATTTTTCCCCCAAAACATCTTGGCCCAGCCGCAGTATGCCACAGTCTTTATCCGCCCTAAACCCTAAACCCTAAACCCCTAAACCCTAAACCCTAAACCCCTAAACCCTAAACCCCTAAACCCTAAACCCTAAACCCCTAAACCCTAAACCCTAAACCCCTAAACCCTAAACCCTAAACCCCTAAACCCTAAACCCCTCGGGCTCTTTCGAACTGCAGCCCGGCGTTGCGCATTAACGTCAGCGCAGATGATTCCGTGAACAGCCGGTGTTTGGGTTCATGCTTGGATCCTTGCTCGCCCACTGGCCGTTTGAGGGCTTGCTCACTTTGTCACTCCCGTAGCTCATGCAGGCGTCCTCAACAAGGAAACAGTAGGACGGGTCAGGTTGTCTTCTTGTGCCCTTCCGGCGCTGATTAGCCCTCAACCTTGCTCCGAGCCATGGCTTTTGCGCGCGGAGCTCTGCAGCAACTGGCATTCTTTGTAGTGGGCACCTTTCCCTGCAGATAGCATGTGGATGCGGGCGCAGCATGTGTGCGCACGAGTTGTGACACTAGCACATGCTGACATATTGCAAGGCTGGCTCATGATTCATCGTGTGGTTGCATGTCGCTTGAAGCCATCAGCGAGTTTTGGCCGCATTTCAGCAAGTTATGGGAGCTGCGTTTGGTGCATGCTTTTGCGACTGCAATGATACCACCAAGGATGCCAGCGGTCCAGGCTGCCAACGACAGCATGGTGGAGCCACTGCCCGATGATGCTTGCCTGCCTAGTCCATTGTGTCGGAAGCCGCTGCTTCGTATTCGGTGCGTATGGTCATAAAGCTTGAGAAGTGAATAAGTATTCCTCGGTCTTGAACCGTCAAAGGCAGCATTCGTGTTGGACGATGATGGGGAGGACGTGGTGCTGAAAAAGGCTCTCTTCTGAGATGGTACTCGTACAGCAATCCAAGGTTGCTGCCAGCCGTTTCCAATTGTCGTGACAGCCCAATCCCAGTCCTGCGAGGCGTCAGAGCTGGATGTCATCGATCGACTTGCCTTGGCATGGGTCAGGCCTGTGAGTGTTCTAGCTTTCACGAGAGTTGGTTACAAGACTTGCAGCATGTCGTCACAGGTTGATGGGCAGCATGTCCGACGAAAAGTTTCTTGGACTGAATTTGCCGATTGCCTTGACTTGAAACCTGACGGGTTGCTTTGGGATGACAGACAAGGCTCGCGCAAGCGGCACTCGTTGCAGCAGCCGTGATACTGCCTCTGCTCGTGTCCTTGATTCCGCTTTGGTTGCTACTGTTGCTGGAGAGCCCTGGCATGATATTTGGGCACCGTGGTGAATCTGAATTACATGCTGTCTTGCAGCATCATGTGGGCCTAGGAAGAACATTTTGATGGTCGAGTCTCGCGGTCCAGCTCGACGCCAGTCAGGCTTCGGAGAAGGGGAGAAATGACCTGCTTCTGCTTATCTCCTGATGGCGCCTAGGTGTTCGAAGCAGGGACGTGACCTTCAGTGTCGCGGAGGAGGCAGGCACTGTTTGATGTCCGTCGCTTCACAAAGCTAGTCCAACATGCTCAAAGCCCGTTCAGCTGCAAGAGTGCAGCGAGTGCTCGTAGTTCGCGCCGTGCACACGTACACCAGACCTCCCTGAGTGGAGACAGCGGACATGTGGGACCGGGATTGCTCGGATTTCGTGACTTGTGGCAAGGGAGTATCTCCAATGCTCCTGATGTACACCTTCGCCGGCTGCTCAGCACGGTGGGCATGACCTCTGAGCTGGAGCGCTCTAAGCCAAGGTCGCTGACTTTGCAGTGCCGAACACCCGGCCCTTCAGGACTCCGACCTGCGCTGCGGGCATTTGCGGGCTGCTCTCGCGAACCTCTGCGACTCTTTCTGTTAGGAGCTTGCCGGAGCTGGCGCAAGAGTTGCCCACAGCGCTTCCTCAGCTTCCTCAGGCAGCTCTGAGACTCTTGTGGACGATGTTTCGGAGCCAGGGAGTTCATAAGATTTGCTGGATAGTGTGTGGGGGCTGGGGCAGAACAAGTCCACCTCTTGGGCTTGAGATATTTTCTTGACGTGGAGGCCAGCGCAGCGGCATGAGTCGGCTCACCTGACCCATGAGGTGTTCACAGAAAGCCAGCCGGCCGTCTTCAGGCTGCGAAAGTCTACGTCATTGGGTGAATCCCATTTTCAGTGGAATCTACTCCCCAAAATCTTGTGTGTGTGTTGCCTCCTGAAGTTGCAGATGGCCGGCATAGACTCCAGCAGTGGCCAACGTCGCTGAATTTGAGAGCACATACTGATGTAATGCGCCCGTGCACGGAGACAAACAGCCAAGAGCAGCACTCCACTGGATGTGAACGGCCGTTTTGCATGTGGTGTTTTGGACCATTCGGCATCGCAGCGGGTGCATGCTCAAACCATCCCCCACGTTCCTTGCCTGACACTGCGTGCCTTTCACTTCGCTGACTCTCGGCGGAATGTGCAGATGCTTGAATTGAATCCAGAGACTTTCGGCAGTTCTTGAGGATTATATGGCCTACGGATGGGGCAGCCAGTGGGGCAAGGGTGGCTACGACCAGTGGGGCAAGGGCAGCTATGACCGCTGGGGCAAGGGCAGCTACAGCCAGTGGGCTGGCATGCCGCCGTATACGGGAGGCACAAGCTTCTGTGGGCTCAGACGTTATCTTTCACTCGTCTGCAAATGCAGGCCACTGGGGCATGGGCTACGACATGGATCCGATGGCCATGGCTATGCCGAAAGGCCGCAGGGGTGATTCGGCAACAGTGCGGAGCTGTCATGTTTTCGTTGAGTCACCGACAGGCCTCGGCAAGGGCCCGGGCTATTCCCAGCTCTCCAGAGGGAAGGCCAGCTTAACAGGGATCGACCTGCCGTAATTGCGCGCAGACTTCCCAAGGCTTGTGTTGAGTATGCCTCCGCCGAGGATGCAACGAAACCCGGCTGTTCTTTTCGGAGCAGTTCTAAAAAACCTCTAAGCCTTTGCCAAACTCAGAGTCAGCAGAGAGCCGAGGAAGGCCATCACGTCGCTGAACGGCACGACGCTGGATGGGCGTCAGATCAAGGTCACGGAATGGGTCGGTCTGCTCCCCAAGAGCAAAGAGCCCTCCATGTAGAGAATGCCAGCGACCTCAGAAGAGCTCCTGTAAGGTGGCCAGTCGCCGCTCTCCAAGCGAGGTGACGACAAGTCCCTCGAAAGCACCGGTTTTTGCCAGTGAAAGGTGGATGCTTGTATGGTTCTCAAGTAAACACGATTATATAAACAGGTCGGAGCAGAAACGCCACCACATAGCACACTGCTCGACCCAAGCTGTAGGACCTGAAGACTTTCTATCCGAAGGGACACAACGGCTTGGGACTCGTTGTTGCGGTGCTTGAACTGTCGTGTGGAGTCGAGCCGCAGCTTAAACCGACAATACTTAGAGATGCTGTTCGTTTGGATGGCTGGGTCTCCTCACGAATTCGTTTTTCAGCTAGAGTAGATGGCTTGTCATCATCCTAAACCCTTGTTGGCCTCGGAGATTGCAGCTGAGGTGTAAAGTCTACGTCGCCAACTTGAACTGGAAGACCCAGGGGTGGAAGCTGAAGGAGCATGCGGCAACTGCCGGAATTGTGGTCTATGCCAAAGCGCCCCGGACGAACAAGCGGCTTTTCCGAAAGGTTGGTCGCTGCTTACACAGAGCCCGCATGATTGCCGTTGTTTGTGAAGCGAAGAGCAAGATGAAAAGCCGATGACATGAGAACATGGGGGAGCATGCTCGAACTCTTTCCTTAACACTGCGAAGCTGTAGACAGAGGCTGGACACGGCATGGCCCTGCAGCGAAGCCGAAAGCTTAGCCCAAGGTGATCATGGACAAGGATCCCAACGTGGACATCTTGAGCAAGGGCTATGGCAAGGGCTGGGGCAGCGGCTATTGGTGAGAGGCGATGGCAGCGGGCACAGAACACTGAGATCGGAGACCCCGAAGCCGGGTCTCCCTGGCAGTGTCGCTTTCTCGCCTTCGGAGTGCTGACAAACTGCTGAAGGGCGCTGCCTTCAGCATCCATCTTGTAGACCGAACGACACGGAAAATGGACCCTCGCAGGTTGCAGGTTTGCACCCGGGGATGTCCACTCCTCGTCTACAAGTGGTAGAGGCTTCATGCCCAGCAGGGGCGCTGCTATCCACACTGTCTCTGGCATGTTCTGCCGAGGGTCGTGCAATTGCACGTTTCAAGCTTGCGGCAAGTTTCTAGACATACTGGACAGTGCCAAACGCAACTGTATTGGGCTCCCACTGCCTCAAGAGAAGTGAGATATTGAAGACGTGCAGTGTGCTGTTTATGCTTTCCTTGTCAGTGAAATTATTGTGTTTTCATGAAGTGCAAGCAGACGGGGTCCGAGCTGCAAGGAAGGACCGCCCGGCCATCCGTTGATCTTTAAAAGGAGGGGCCCATCTTGGCCATGCACATCTGAGCTGGTGGATTTCAGTGGGCATACTTTGATAATGCATACACCTGATGACAGATAGATAGACATATGTATGTATGTATGTATCTATGTATGTATGTATGTATGTACACACATGTTTTCATCATATGCCATATATATATATATATATGTGCCGTTTCATCATCTTCCGACCAGCTCCGGGCTTCAAGCGAGAAGCCTGCTGAAAGCTTGCAGCCATGGAACCGTTTAGACATACTCAGCCCCGTGCCCAACACCACGGTTTAGGGTTACATCCGCCGTGGCACCAGAGTTTCTGGACGGAGCGCAAGCAATGAGCCACAACTCGTAGTCCTCAGCGGTGAATTCAGCCACAAGCGCAGAAGTTTCCGCTCATGTCTTCAGGCGCCAAACCCTAAACTAAAGTTCCTAAACGAATCAAGAAGTGTACCAAGAATACACCTTGAAGGAATCCTTAAAAGAACCCCACCAAGAATACACCCGTAAAGGAATCCTTAAAAGAACACCAGGAGAATCTCCCAGTGCGCAGAGCAATGGGTGCCTTCCCCGCGGTGGCTTTGGCCCCTGTGGCCCTCACTCCGCTAGCACACGGCTGGCGCTCTGAGTGCAACATCGAGGGCCTGGACGTGCAGGTGACAAATAGAATAGTATAGCAGTAACAGAACAAGGCTAATGGTACTGGTAATAGTACTTGTAGCAGTAGCAGTAATCGCAGTAGTGATCGTAGTAAGAGTAATAGTAACAGTAAGAGTAACAATAATCGCAATCGTGATAGTAGTAGTGGTGGTAGTAGTAGTAGTAACAGAATAGTCGCATTAGTAATAATATTGCAGATCAGGATGGAGGCATTGAAGACGAGTGAAACCCTGAAGCAGTCCTGGTAGTTGCGGCGGTGGTGCTGGGTGGGCTGGTCGTAGTGCTTGTGGCCGTAACATTTTCCTAAGCCGAACGAGAATTGAGAATGATCATAGTCTCTGTACGTGGATGATTGTCAAAATTAGGGTCCCTTTTTGTGTGCTCATTATGCTCATTATAGTACGGCACCTAATATTTAGGGTAAGCAAAAAGGGACCCTAATTTTGACAACAACCCACGTGCAGGTGTTCATTCATGGCATCGGAGAGCGGTCGGACCATGCTGCTCTGGACTGTTTCAGAAATGTTTTGCGGCGTCAAACCGAGGAGGACAGTTTGAACATCAAGCCACGAATGCAAGGTGCCTCGAGCATTCTTCTTCTTATTCTTGTAATGCCAGCAGCCTTGAGCGGTGAAGTCTGTTCAGGTGGTTGCTCGTAGAAGTGGCCCAGGGTTCTTCGAGTTTGGACGGCAGAGGGGCTGTCACTTCTGCTTCTGGTCGTTTACCAAGGACGGCAGCGCTTGCCGTGTGGCGTGGTTGGACCACAAGGACAGGATCAGAATCATTGTAGGAATCGACTGCCATGACAGTCCCCGTGATTTCATGCTCGTAGGTAGACCCACTCATGTGTTGCACTCCGTGCAAGATCACTTTTCTACTGTCGGACAAATGTGCCATCAAGGAATGCACATCGACCTCTCTATGCTTTACCGGCCTAGCAGAAAGGGGCCCTGTCTAAATTGCATGAGGACCTGCAAAGTGCGGACGCTTCGGAGCTGCAAGGCAGGGCACATTATCTTAGGTTATGCCATATTCTGCTATACTGACAGGCCATGTTGTTTTTCGCTTCGCATGCATAAATCGCAATTGGCTTATTCATTAAGGCGTTTATCTTTGGGATCAGGACTGATTTCTGGTGAAATAAACGAGGCTGCAGCCAAGGAGTGACCATGGGGCATGTCTTCTGGAAGCCTCTGGAAATTTAAAGCGCGAAGTGTTGTGGGGACGACTCGTCTAAGTCACATCCGAGATTTCTGGCCGCGCTTGAAGCCTTCACAGAACTTTCACTCTGCTAGTGAGCTTTGTCTTTGACGGATCATGTTTGTTTTTGCTTGCCTGAGCGCCTGAAGTTCTCCAGCTAATGCATGGAGTCATAGCTGTGCGCATTTTGGCGACAACGCCCCATCGGAACATCCTGAGAAACCATGCTCACAAGCACGGGGTTCGACGACAGGGTCTCAGATTCAAAAAATGTTCCAAAGCCGCACCTGTAGTCTTTTTCAGGTGACAAGCTTCGGCACTACTATCGTTGTGATGATGTCCACTACTGTTGCTGTTGCTGTTCTCTGTATTGTTGTTTCAGCGAATATTGTTCTTCACATTACTCTTACGCTTCTGGTTTCGGCTAGTGTGATTGCAAGTTGTATCACCAGTAGCCGTGATTCTACTTTGATTCGAGCAGCGCTCTAGTCCGGAAGCTATGCCCTCTAGATACTACCCTTGCATTGGCTATGCTGCCAAGTCTTCTGCCATGGTGCAACATGTGACTGGCATCGCAGGAATAAACGTCGGACACGACCTTGCAGCAATGTTGTTGCTCTTCCGTCGAACACGACAGGCTACAACTCAAGCAGCATCAACTCGCAGCAAAATGTCTTGCTCTTCCACGTGCTACCGGTACTTCCTGCTGGGTACTGGTCTTCTATGAACTTACCTTTGGTTTGTAGGGAATGGAGGAATGGGGTACAATTACAACTACTATTACTACCATATTATTACCACATTATTACCATATTATTACCATATTATTACCATATTATTACCATATTATTACCATATTATTACCATATTATTACCATATTATTACCATATTACTATCATATTACTATCATATTACTACCATATAACTACTATTACTACCATTCTTCCATTCCCTAACCTAACCAAAGGTAAGTGAAGAGCTGCAAGCCTTGGATCTTCCGAAGTCCTCTCCAGGCCGGGTCGATTTCCTCTTTACGGACTCACGATCCTACGTGCCCTTTCGTGGGCGTCACGGCTCGGTCGCCCGGCTCGAGAAGGAGGTTCAGGGATGCGGAGCAACAAGTTGTGTTCAACATTAAGTTCTGGAAGGCATCAAGGAGTAGGTTGCCGCTCTCAGCAGAGGTGCTCTACTTGGAGAACATCTCTGAGTTTCAAGTGCCAAAAGATCTTGATGCCGTCATGCAAGAGAAGACGCAGCTTCTGTCGGTGCTTATGCCACCCAGAGACAGGCCTTGAAGCTTGTAGAGCCGTCTCAGAACGGAGCCGAGACAGTGCGGAAGCTTCTTTTCGGCAAAGTCGGGTGAGGTTTGTAGCCTCGTACATGTAGCATGCCATGCGCAGCGTAAGCAGTTTGCAATAGGTTTTGTATGGCATTCCTGATTGCGAGAAGCCTTCAGTTCTGTCGGCTTACGTCCAGTGCAGGTGGGATGAGCTCGCGGAGGAGATCTACCGCCAGGCTTGATGCGGAGATATTGCGTCTGAAAGGTGCCTGAAGCTGCCTACTCGTGTAAGAGATCGAAAACTCCTGTCTAGACCAGTCTGAGATCAACAAGTCTGCCCGCTTCCAACTCCAACTGTCTTACTGTGTTAGTAACAATATAGTAATAATAGTAATCAAAATGAAATATCGATACTTAATACTAGCTATTATATAATAGTAATAACACTAATAATAATACTAATAATAATAATAATAATAGTAATCATTATAATAATAGTAATAATAATAATAAGAATAATAATGAAAATAATAAAAATAAATAACAATAATAATAAATAGTAATAATAAGAAGAAGAAGAATAATAATAAGAATAATAATAATAATAATAATAATAATAATAGTAATAGTAATAATAATAATAATAATAATCATAATAATCATAATAATCATAATCATAATCATAATAATCATAATAATAATAATATTAATATTAATAATAATCATAATAATCATAATAATCATAATCATAATCATAATAATCATAATAATAATAGTAATAATAATAAGAATAATACTAATGTTACTTGTCCAGCCAGGCCTCGGGTTCTTGCTTTTGTCTGCTGCCGGGCTCGGGTGAGACACTTTGACAAGTCTCAAGACCCCTCCACTCTCTTTGGGTTTATGTCCTGAAGCCGCTGAACCGCAAAAAACCCCAAAAACCTGAAGACCTTGAACCCTGAACCGAACCCTTAAAGCCCTAAACCCTTAAACCCAAGAAACCCTAAACCCTAAACCCCTGAACCCTCTTTTGAGCCCTCTTTTTTGAAAAGAGGGCTCGAAAAAAAAACCTAAACCCCTGAACCCTGATTCCAGGCCATGGCCACCATGCCGGAGCACGTCTTCGTGGAGGATGGGAGCCTCGAGACCGAGGCTAGTGTTTCTTCTGGGTTCAGGGGTTTAGGGTTTAGGGGTTTAGGGTTTAGGGGTTTAGGGTTCAGGGGTTTAGGTTTACGGGTTCAGGGGTTTACGGGTTCAGCGGTTTGGGGTTTACGGGTTCAGGGGTTTAGGGTTTAGGGGTTCAGGGGTTTAGGGTGTAGGGGGTTTAGGGTTTAGGGGTTCAGGGGTTCAGGGTTT